GGTAGAACCCTAGTAATGTTGCGGATGTTCCAAATAAAAGAATAAAACGTGTTATGACTCCCAGTGTAAAACTTCAGAGGAAGCGCTTGAGAAATGTTGCTAACTGGAAGGATGTTAAATCAAAAAATGAACTAAATTTAGGGTTGGAGCATAATAATAGATCAGGCAAAAATAAAAATGCAAAAATCATGGGTCTACCTTGTAAGTGCAAGATGAAATGCTTTGATAAAATTAGTGACAATATGAGAAAAACTGTATTTGATGAATACTGGGGTTTAGGAGATCATATCCGTCAATGGGATTTTATAGCCAGGTGTGTAAGGATAAAAGAAAAAAAAGTAGCAACCACATCATCAAATTCACGGAGAGCATTATCCAGAGAATATTATATACCCATTAACTTTGTTGAAATAAAAGTGTGTAAAGTGATGTTCTTAAACACTATTTCAGTGTCTGAAAAAATCATTAGTACTGTTTCTAAAAAACTGAATAGGTCTCCTGTAATAGAACATGACATGAGAGGTAAGCATACAAATCGACCACATGTGATTAGTGCAACAGTAATTGATTGCATTAAGGAACATATTGCAATGTTCCCAACAGTTGAATCACATTATAGAAGAGCAACATCTCAAAAGAATTATTTTGAAGCAGACTTAAGTATTGCAAAAATGCATCGACTTTATTTAGATTGGGTTAAAGACAAAACTCTTTGTGTCAAGGCTCAAAATGCTACAGTCAGGCAATATACAGACATATTTAATACTTTTAACTTAAGTTTTTTTAGACCAAAAAAAGACTTATGTGACAAATGTGAAGAATTTAAACTTGCAAGTGAGGAAGAAAAATTGAAACTTCAACCAAGCCACAATGAACATTTGACAAACAAAAATGTAGCCAGAGATAATAAAACTATAGATAAAAAGCGAGCAGCTAATGATCCAGAATTGTGTGTTGCGGTATTTGACTTAGAAAAAGTATTGACCACACCACAAGGTGAGGCCAGTAATTTTTATTACAAAAGAAAGTTTGCCGTTTACAATTTTACGGTGTATGATATTGTTAACAAAGTTGGTTACTGTTATATGTGGGACGAATCAGATGCAAAAAGAGGTTCCAACGAAATTGGAACTTGCTTATTAAAATTTTTAAAAATGATGAAGGAGAAGGGTTTCAAAGAGTTTTGTTTTTACTCAGACAACTGTGGTGGCCAGAATCGCAATCGTTTTATTTATGCAATGTGGGAGTATGCGGCCTTTACACTTAAAATAAAAATTAGTCATAAATTTTTAGAAAGAGGCCATACTCAAAATGAAGGTGACAGTATGCACTCATGTATTGAACGTTCAAAAAAAGGGAAATCGATTTATGTTCCTGCCCAATGGATTACTCTAGTAAGGTGTGCTAAAGTTACAGGCAATCCTTATATAGTATTTGAGATGGACAATACTGAGTTCTTGGATTTTAAGCCTCTTGTCGAAGAAAATAGATTTAATTTTAAAACAACCTGCGATGGTGACCTAATAAGGTGGAATAACATAAAAGAGATCAAAGTGTCATTTGAAACTCCATTTGAACTAAACATTAAATATGATTTCAATTCTCCAGACTTTATAAAGATAAATTTCTTAAAACAAAAACAAAGGGGAAGATTTCAAAATCATAGTATACCTGAAAAAGTGTATGCTGGCAAATTGCCAATTGAAAAAGCCAAACACAAAGATTTACTATCACTATGTTCTATGGGGCTTATCCCATCCACATACCATGATTTTTATAAGTCTCTTCCATCAAAATAAAGATAATATTCTGTATACAAAAATGACTAATTAATATTAAACGATTAATAATATTTTATACTTTTGTTTATATTAGGTATATTTTGAAAAAAATGTTTTTTAAGTTTTTTTGTTTTAATTTTATTATAACTTTGTATTGTTATGATGTTTGTTGTTATTATAAATATTATAATGCTGCTATTACTTTTATTTTATTTTTATAAACAATTAAGACTACCTACTACTAGTCTTAACTGTTTAATAATATTTAATATTTATACTTTAGTTTATAGTAAAATATTTAAAAAAAGGTTTTTTTAAGTTTTTCTGATTATATTTATTATAACTTTTTATTGTTATATATTGACATATTGTTTTGTTTTTTCTAAATTGTTTGATATTATTTTGTATAAAACAATATTGTCAATACCCCGGTCAACACTAATACAATAAAAAATGATATTATTGTATATTGATTATAAAATAGGTACAGTTTTAATACAATATTTATAGTCAATGGTAGTATACAGTCCTATGACAGGTCATAAGTCTTTGGGGGGGGGGGGCGATATAGTCCCCCTGAATTCAATTTTAAAATAATGTAGGAAATAGTAAAAGTTATGACTTAATATAAAATAATTATATAAAAAATTATAATATTATTACTATCATAAATTATTCATATAAATTTCCAACGAAAAAAGTCGTAAGTATAGATACAATTATAAAGTCATATTAAGTTCCAAAGAAAAAAGTCGTAAGTATAGATACGACCATAAAGTCTTATAAATTTCCAACTAAAAAAGTCGTAAGTATAGATACGACTAGGTACAACTTCGTTCTAAAGGTCGTATCTAGTTAAAAAACACGATCATGTGATATTTTAAAAAAAACAATAACATAATATTTAGAGTCAGCTAATTGGTGATATAAAATTATGCATACTAAAATTTTAGAAATTAAAACAGAATTATAATTTATATAACCATTATAGTTTTGCTCCTCCTGAAAACTTGAGAAAATAGAGTTACGACCTTTTTCGCTGCGGCAGGCGATATAATCAGTTTGAGTGGCTTGAATATAGCATTCTAAAAGACAGTATATTTTGCTTTGTATGCCGTAATTTTGGTACTGTTACATCAGAAGTTATATTTATAACCAAAGGATTTAATAATTGGAAAAAAGTGAGTGCTTAATGCTTATATTTATAAAATGTATTTATTTAGTCCATTATTACTTAAAATTTGTTTAATAACTATACATAAATACATATTTTACCTTTATTTTGTAAATGTTAAAATATAAACTAGTATTATTAACAAAATTATCTTACGATCATAGGTAAGTGGTTCAAAGGGAAAAGGAAAAAATTGTAAATCAAAATTGGAAGTTCATAGTAGTTCTCCTTATCATTTGACTTGTATGGCCAAGTGGTCGGCCCATAAAAAGTCTAAAATTACAGGTTCTGTTCACACTTTATTGACAATTGCTAATCGTGAAGATATAGTTAAGAACCGGAATTATATTAAGTGCATAATAGATATAATTTTGTATTTGAGTCGCCAAGGTATAGCATTTAGGGGTCACCTAGAAGACAAAAACTCACTAAACCAAGGTATAATTAAATGTTATATATTATAGGACTAGATTGGATTTATTTTTAAATAATATGAATACTCTGTCCCATATTAACGTTCAATCATTGTTATTTATTTATATTTTTTTATTAGGTAATTTTAAAGAAGCTTGTAAATTATATTTTAAACATAACTCTGATTTCCAAAACCAATATGAGAAATTTATAAACTATACAAGTGCTACAACTCAAAACACTATTATTGAAATTTGTTCAAATTATGTTCTTGACTACATCATCAACGAAGTTAAAAGTGCAGATTTTTACTCTATTATGTGTGATGAAGCAAGGTATATTTTCTGAAGTTTTATCTTTTCAAATTAATGTAATTCAATTTGAATTATTCAAATAACTTAATATAATATTTTAGATGCCACAAACAAGAACAAATGTCAGTGTGTATTCGATATACCAAACATTTTGAAGTATATGAACGGTTTATTGGCTTCTTAAATGTATCTGAAAAACAAGATGCCGAGACCCTAGTAAATGCAATTCTCAATTTTTTTAAATTATGTAAGTTAGACCAAGTTCCTATTGTCGGGCAGTCCTATGATGGAGCCAATGTTATGTCAGGCAGACAAGGTGGCGTTCAAACTAAAATGAAAATACACTATCCATATGCAACTTACATTCATTGTATGGCTCATAAACTAAATTTGATTGTAGTTGATATGTGTAAGAATGTTAAAGTAAGTTCCAACTTTGAACTTAGTGACTTACCTATTATCTTTATAATAAATCAACAGTTAATTTATAAAAATATGTGTATTTTTTAAAGTATTCAAAGCAGGTTTTTAATATGTTGGAGGCCATATAATAGTGCATTTCTCAATGCCATCTAAGAACAAAAAGTTGCATGATATGCAAAAACTTCTAAATATAAAAATATGTACTTTTTCACAAATCAGTGATACTAGGTGGGTTTGTCGCCATAAAAACTGCAAGGCAGTTATAGACAACTTTGAATCAATTATAAATATTTTAAATAAAGAAGTTGAAGATAATAACGACAGAGATGTCTCAAGAGCGATTGGTTTGTAAAAAGTTATTTAAGATATAGCAATATAATATGAAAAACTAGTTAAAAATAAAACAACAATTATTTATTATTTTTTTTAGGTATTCTTTCATGTGTGCAAAAAGGATCATTTATTATACACCTTCATTTTATTAGCTATGTTTTAAATATTATCAATATTCTTAGCAAACAATTACAAAACGACAGTGGGACCCTTGGTCAAGCAGCCAGTTTAATAAATGCAGTCATAAAAACTTTTGAAGATAGTCGAAATCAGAGTAAAATATATATGACAATTTGGGAAACTATAGTAACATTTGCTCAACAACATAATATAGAATTAGAAGTCCCCAATAAAAGTAATAAATAGTTTAATTTTAGTAAGGTTATTAATTGATTATAACATATATCATATTTTCATTATTAATAGTATCTAAACGGAAAAGAACAGAGCCTGAATTTCTGAAAAATTTTGTTGTAACTACAAAAACTGCAGCTGAACACGAGGACTCTAATAATGAAACTAATTTAATTGATTACTGGAAAGTACATGCTTACTATCCAATAATAGACGAGGTTGTAAATAATCTGAAGACAAGATTTTCTGCGGAGAGTTTGAATTTGGCAATTTCTATTGATCACTTTTTCAATCTGGACTATGAAAAAAGTTCATTTTTTATTCAACAATATAAGGTATGTTAAATTTAAATAAATAAATCAACTTAAGTGAAAACTTAAAAAACTAATGTAACCCATAACTGAAGCATGAAAGTACTAACTAACTGTCTTATTACTTAAAGTTGTATTAATAATGTGTTCTAATTAATATAGGATTTACTGAAAGTTGATTTGAATTCACTTCAAGCTGAAATGATGGTTGCCAAAAACTGTATTCAAAACTATAATAATAAACCTGAACTGGGACCTGAACAAAATAATCAAATAAACTTATTCAAAAAAAATATAACTATTTCAACTTTTCCTAATGTATATAAACTTTTAAATTTAGCTCTGACCTTACCAATTTCTTCAGCATCATGTGAGAGGTCATTTTCGACAATGAGACGTATCAATACATATATACGGTCAACTATGACTCAAGACCGTTTTTCCTCACTGGCAATACTAAATATTGAAAGAGATATTTCAAATAATATTGATTCTAATGATATATTAAATATCTATTCAAAAACTAATAGACGCTTGGAATTATAGTTGAAAACAAATAAATGTCTTATTTTCATTTAGTTTAGTGTTTTTTTTTTTCTTATTAAGTATTATTATTTTTGCAGCCCCCCCGATATATTTGATCACCCTACGCCTATGAGGTTACCTAAGTCCTGACCCGAGCAACATTTTGTTGTTGCTAACAATGTTGAGGAATTGCATTTGTTTTGTGACAATTGTGCTGGGCAAAACAAAAACCACGCATTACTCAGAATGATTATGGCTCTAGTTGAAATTAAAAAATTCAAAAAAGTTCAGGTTTTTTTTCCACAAAGAGGACACTCGTTTTTGCCGTGTGATCGTGACTTTGCATTGATAAAAAAACAACTGAACAGAGTGAATCGTCTATACACCTTAGAAGACTATATAGAACTTATTTTAAAATCATCAAGAAATCCAGAAAAATTTTCAGTGTTTCTAGTTGATAAAAGTATGATTTATGACTATCAAATGTGGTTTCCACAATTTTATTTTAAAAATACTAACGCATTAGAATGTTTAAGCCGTAATAAAACATTGAAACAACGTCGTACAATAGAAAAATTTTTAATTTCTAAGTACCATTATTTTGAATGTGTATCGGAAAAATGTGGAATAATTAAGGAAAGTGAATTTATTGACGGAATAATATCAAACCATTTCAAATTGAGAAAAAACAATGCAATGCCCATACAACTCCCAAAAACACTAGTTTATACTTCAAGCTTACCAATTCTTGAAAGAAAAACGAAAGATTTGAAGCAACTAGAGAAATATATTCCAGAGGCAGCATTGCAATCATTTTGGAATTATATTTTTTCGTTACAAACTGAGACACCTCAAGGAAGGCAAAATAGAACATAAGATATTTATATAATTTCATTTCTAATTATCAAAAAAAAATCAAATATTTGTGACTCATTATTAGTATATAATCTACTGCATATTATTTAATCATGTCATTTTAATATTTATGCATATTAAAGCTACTTATTTATACGAAAACGGTTGTTTTCGAAATATAAATGGTACCTAATTTGAAGCATAAACGGCACATGTCCACAACCTTAAAGTCCTTCAGATACCTACAGTTTAATTATATTTCTTTAAGTGATTGTAGAAACATGTATACCATGTCTTAAACTATATTATTCTATAACATACAATTTGTAATTCAGTTTTTTTCAAAAATATTAAGTTTTTTGTTTCCTGAAAAATTTTAAAACTTGGACATGTGTCCTTTCTGCATTTAGCGATTCATATTGTATATATACATGATTCTTATGTATTACTATATAATTTGATACTTTAGTTGTTGTAAAAGCAAACTAAAACTGTTATGTATTTACTTGTATTTTATTTTGAACTATGTATTTATATATCAAAAATGTGTAACAGATATTGAGGTGACTGAGCTGGTAGTTACAGACCCGCCGTATCCTGATCATTTTCCAATAGTCCAACATACAATAGCACTAGTTAAGCGAGTAAAAAAAATACCATTACAGACACCAAATTTTAAATGGAACTTTAGGTCAAAAGAATTATTTTGACTCATCCAAGGTAAATACTGGTAGCCTGTTGGCATTATGTATGATAATGAACTAATCTATTATAAATGGATCACATTACTTACAATTGTTATAATGCTTTTTTTTTTTTAGTGTGGAGTTCAAAAACATGAATTTGGTTTGCATAGCGACTCAAGTAAACTAGAGTTTTTTGAAGCATTTGTTTTTGAATTTTTACTTGGCAAAGTAGTATTTGAGACAAATAGGTATGCTGAACAATATAAACAATTCAATAAAATCTCACATCAATCTAGAGTAAATGCTTAGAAGGATACAAATATTGGTGAGATATATACATTTTTAGCAACTACTATATTGATGTCAAGAAATAAAAAACTTGATATGAAAGACTACTGGTCTACTGACCCATTACTTAGCCCACCAATTTTCAGACAAATAATTTCTAGAAACAGATACTTTCACAGTGGTTATGTAAGGTTTTATATGAAAATCTAAGATTATAATAAAAAAATCATGTTAAATATAATTTAAGAATTCATTTGATACATAAACTACCTGATACTAATTGGACGATTATATCCATTTTAACTATATTTGCATACTAATTATTTATAACATTCAAGACATTTGTAATATATTAGATCATTACTGCTATGTTAATAAAGTGTATGTAATTTGTAATGATTAAAATATAATTTTTCTTTCCTTGTGTGCAATATCACTTCAATTCCTGAGTAGTCGCCCATGCAAGAACAAGTAACGGAGGAGCAGTTTAACAGCAACGCCAGATGGCCTTTGAAGTATTTAACCTGCCATGCTATCCAAAATTAACACCGGAGCTTTGAGTTAACAATTGTAACGTCAGTACTCACAACAGTGATTCAATAACAGAGTATACAATTTTTAAATGTATGAACTTACAGAACGCTATGCCATGCCAGAGGTTCAAATTATTTTATTCATTCATCACAATTATAACTAATCACAATACTGCATTTATCAAATTGAAAACATACTTGTTTTTATTTTTTACTTTGTCTAAATACATTACAATTTGTTTAAGTGTTACAACAAATAATTAACAATACAGTTAAAATCAGGACATATTAGCATATTATTAAGTATATTATTAAGTTTATATTAATCATTATAACCTAACATAACCAACTTTTTGTTAATATATTTTGAATGTTATTGCATGTACTTTTTTATTTGTATTTATATTATATGTCTATCTACATTAGAATGTTGTCAAAAAAAAATTAACCGCTATATATCAGAAGACTTTAATAGCGAAAAGGAAAGCAAAATCTCAATTACTAAAGCTACAAAAGTTACAAAGAATTATGACTTAATTAATTACTGAAATGTACAAGTTTTATTTATGAATTATATATTATATTATATTATAATATTTGTATTCATATGAAAGAATATTAAAAATGTAAGTACACAACTTGCAGATTGGTTTCTTAGTTGTAGTCTTTATTTATTTATTGATAGTTTTCTTATTGTACCTGCACAACATTTTAATTTATTGGTCAATTACAATTGGTATAATGTATTATTATTATGCAAGATAAGTGTAAAATATTTTTTAGAAAGTTGATTTTTCTATCTTCAAATTAATATTTGTTGAAAGAAAAAATAGATCAATCGTTTTTATCAAATTTTAGTTTTGTTAAATTTTATTTTATTTTTTAGATACCTACGACATATGTTTGAACTTTTTGTAGTTTTACTAACTTCTGTAAGTATTTTTACCATATTATTTTACTACCAAATGATATACCTATTGCATGCTGAACATAGCTGATAGTTAAATAGTAGGAGCTATTTGTGATATATACAGTGTACTCTCAATAGGTAACTTGAACCTTGATAACTAGAAATTCTCGACATCTCGAACAAATAAAATTACCAAATTAAGATTTTGATAACTCAACGTTTTTAATAAGTCGAATATTTTTCGCCCAGCGGGCCGGTTACTGAGAGTACACTGTATTAAAAATAATTGTATTATATTTGATAATTATTATTTATTATATAATTAAATAGCTGGTAAATCCAATGAATAATTCATTAATAATTAAGTTATCAAAAACAAAAGAAAGTATGTAAAAAATGATTTTATTAATTATTATTATTATACTGTTGAAAATAAGTAAATGACACATTGTACAGCACTATGGCAGTCGATTGTTCCGGCAATGATGTCAGTAGACGAGGAACGGTACGGGGGGGAAACGTTTTGTTTACATGACTTTGAGGCAACCTGTATATTCTATTAACCTTGGATTTGACGTACTTACTCGTTTACTTATCAGTTATCACTTATAACCATGATTTAAGATAATACTGGTTAACAAAATGTGATGACCTAACCATCAAACAGAATCTCTAATCTGAATTATGTGTTAGAACTGAATATTGGTGGTTAACCAACCAATTTAGATTTATGGTGTCAAGCTTGGGAAAACTGGTTGGTAACCATAAAGTATACAGAGAATTGGGGCAAGTTGGAAGAATATACCTAGACGATCAATATTACTACCAACAGAGATTGTAAGTAGAAAACTGTTCCAAATCCTTTTCAACCAAACCACTATCTCAACCACTATACTCTGTCCCACGAGAGAATGGACTATTTGGACCATATACCATATGGTTTTCACCTTCCACAAAGTTTGAAGTTAGATGGTGCACAACGATAGGTTTTGGTCAGCGCACAGCCTATTCTCTAGTGGGATAGAGTATAGTAGGTTCACAATACACATACTTGCAATTGTTTATAATTGAAACAATACATTTACTCAATTTCTAGGTACCTACCATTACGGTCTACGATATATTTGCAGTTGACCAGTACGTTAATCACTTAATAACATAAAATTGATGAATTACATTAAAATTGTGACTGAGACACAAATATTTTCACTCATGTGTCCGTCACTGACGAGGAGTGTTGCCAGTGAGCGGCTTCTCCACCATATCTTCTGGCTCAATCATCATGGTTAACACTTATAGATTATTAAACATAACTTGTATAGATTGTTTAATTCAAATAAAGTACAAAAAAAACTCACGTGGACATGACGAGGTCCAAAAAATTACAAAATAAATTTGACAATTAATCCTGGATGAACCCGGCACAGGCGAATGTGGATAGCACCATTCACGAGCTAACACTTCATTTGATACTAATGAACGATGAACCACTTGGACTTGGACACGGTTCAACTGACCACCCTAAACTAGGAGAGTAAAATATATTAAAGGGCAATAATCAAATATTTATTATAGGTAATTCATATTTACACCAGGGTGCTACCGTTAGGGCGTTGATTCGCTAAGGGAAAACTAATGGGAACAAAAGCTTGATAATATTATGATAACTAGATTCGCTTCATCGTCGTCAAAGCTGAACGACAAAAGAAGCGACACAATTCGACGTGTTCTGTGTTGTCATACGGAAACGATAGTTACACTGGTTAGACGGACGTGAATGCAGAATCACCAGAAACCATGACTTAAATTGAAGAGCGAGTCGCATTCGCGTATGTCGTATTATTGTAACTAAAAACATAACACTTATGTGAAGTTAATATTATTGTCCGTATGGTTAAGTCGCTAGGGAAACGCGAATAACCGAATATAACGGTCGTGGTGATTCGACGATGCATGTTGACTTGGATGTAAATGGCGGTTGGTGGATTTTGGATACCATGACAAAATAAAATATTATGTTTAATATTATGTATATTACCCTACAAAAACACACGAGGGATACAATGACAGAAATAATTATTTGTAATAGGGATTACGGGCAATACTTTACCAGAACTACACCAATAATGAGTGTAAAAAAAAAAAACAGAATGAATAAAACACGAACACTCAACGAGAGGCAATAGCCAAAAATTGAGAAGCAATCTCGCCTTGATTTAAACGATTGAAGATGAATGTAAACTGAAAACAGTGAAGACATCCTCTCACTAGTTGTACTATTTTTAATATATGATGTTTGTGCTGCAGACTTTAAGGTTAGCCGACCGGTACTATTGTCTATTCCGCAGAATATATATAAGCATACTGTATGTTTATTGTTTATATATCTGTGGACTATTCATAATATATTAATATGTACGTTAGGTCCATACAGTAATATTACTCTATAGCCGTGGTCACTGGTCACGGTCAATAAACGATAAAGATAAACACTGTGCGGTAAAAAGGCGGTAAATACTCATAGATAATATATATTATATGTATTTATTATCTATGATTACGGCTGATATATGTTTTTGTTTGTGGGGGAGACGACGCTTTCTGTAACGCAACTACGACCGTAGTAATGGTTACTCATACGCTCGTAGGGGGCGGCAATACGAATTTGAAATGATTTCGTTTTTTTTTCTCTTCATAACTTTACTGTACTGCAGCTGCTGCTGTGACGCTGTGTATTAATATTTACTATTTTATTATGATTAAGTATTGACTGAATACAAAACTGCAAATATAAGTCGTTCGAATTGTTTGCCTCAGTCTAAACTATTGCCTGAATATTGTTAAAATATTGAAAATAGCCCGTAGGTAGGTTTTAATATAAAAATATGTTATTGTTATACTGCTATATAACTGGTGGTTAGGTACTTGAATTAAGTTAAACAATTTCACACCGTATTTAATAGCGTTTGGAAAATGTCGTTTTCGATTGCCTATTTATTAGGGTTAACACACATAAAATCAAAAACCCTATTAGAGAATTATAATAATATGATTTATATTGGACAAAGTTTATTTTTGGTATAAGAAAAAAAGCACGAATGTACCTATGCATTTTAAGATGACTAAAGGGACTTGCCAATTTTCATTAAGTATTTTTGAATTTTGTATAAATTTAAATTCTTAATTCTCCCTGGATATTTCCAATGTTAAAATAAAAAGGTGCTATATTTTCAGGATCTTATGCAGAGCATATTTTTTGTTTTATTCAGTGGCAGATCCGGGGGGGTTATATACCCCCTCCCCTCCTTGAGGCTTATTATATTCAAATTTATTACATTATGACTTGTAATATTAGTTATATTCAGCGTTACATTTCGTTTTAACTATAATTATGTACCCAATACTCAAAAGTCAAAAGAATAGTGATATTAAAAAGTATGTTATTATTTTAAGTATGAATATTATCTGTTGGATACATTTTAATTATCCCCCACCTTGATAAATTTCTGGATCCGCCACTGGTTTTTTTAGACTTGAGGATATCTTGTAGTATGCGCTCTACCGGCAGCATTGCGATTGCATTATTGCAGTATGCAGTATGCACTCTACTAGTCTACTGTTTGATTGCGCTTTACCTCGTTACTCTAAGACTATATTAAGATCTTAGACAATTTATTCTTGTAATAAGTTATAAGTGGGTATAAGGTAAAAGTGGTTAAATGACAAACAAAAATTTTCATAAGTAGTAAGTAATATATAAGGTATTGCAATAACAAATTATTATTTCATAATATTATCAACGTTCGTCGTCGTCTCGTCATTTGTGTAATTATTAATTATACATATAAAAAATTTAAATAAAAATAAAAATTTGTGCCATGTCCCTAAAAAACGAGTTAATTGTGTCACTTTTATTAACACCTCTTCACCAAGTTTCAATAAGATACCTGTAATATTTATTATATTACAAATAGGTTTGTAATTATATTATTATTATATTATAATATAATACCTTGAAAGCAAATCTGGAGTTGTACCACACATATTTTTCTCAATTTTTAGCCTCAGAAGTCTCCACAAACTTTCAATCCTTTGGGTATGTGCTTTTGAAATTGGATCCATGAAATTTTCACTATGATTTACGACATAGTGGTTGTACACATGGTCCGAAAGTCCATTATACCCTGACCAACCATCAAAATGTATTGCTTATTGCAATAACCTTTCTTTTCGTTGTGTCTGGATGACAACTAAATACCTTCCTTCGTTATTGTCACACAACCCTATTATCCATGGTCCATCAAGCCGTCTTCCATAGTTTCTTGCTCCATTTTCTAGAGGATAAGCACTTTCCGAGTCCAAATCATTGTCGACATTAAGATTTTCAGCTTATTTTAGATTATATAATAAACTGTAAAGATATGAATCACATATGGTATAGAGTGCATACGACAAACGTCTCGTTATGACTGCAATCTACGGTAGAGCGCATACAACAACATAGCCACACTTGAATATTATATTGCCACAAATTAGACTTTATACATTATACAAATTATAACCTTTATAATTTTGTACTACCGAGTATCGACACAGTATAGTCAGTAGGTACTATAGTATTTATTTTTATTTTTTTCAGTTTCAGTAATAAGATTATAATTTAACGGTTAATACATTTTTAAAGTTAAATAATCATGTACAAGCTATACATTATTTATAAAGCCTATACCTTATTCAATAATAAAGAAAAAAATATTGTGATATGTAATTCACTTACTAATTACTTTATAAAATAATTATATTCACAAATAATGAATATGTTAACAATATCTGTAGATATTGTTATGGTTGGTTTTTAAGTGGAATGTAACAAACTTAATAATTTGATTGAAGTAAACATTTATTCAAGCATAACTTTCACATTTATGCTACACAAAAAATCTATATTAAATCTTATTTCATAAAACATAATGATTCACTTTTAAATACATTTTTACAGTAAAAAGATTAGAGTTTGGAATGTTAATAACAAATGACTCAGAGTACTTAAAATTAAAATAAAGACAAAGAACAAAAAAATAAATATTTACAAATTTAGTGACCCATAAGTGTTACAAAAAAATAAAACAGGGAAAATATAATATTACAATGCACAAAATACCTATGCAATAACTAAAATTGATCAGGCCATGCCATATAGAACATTTAAATAACCATACATGCACTAATTATAAATAATAATAACTAAATAACTAAAAATGTTGAAAAAATCCCAAAATATTAATAATATTTAACATTAATTCAATATTTGATCATTAATAAATATTAGGTTACAAATTAGATACACACAAATTAGTTAGACTCTGAGGTAAATTAAGCAAAGTCACATTAAATGCAGTCTCGATATCTTTTCTAGCGGTTTTGTCATTTGCAGTGATGAAATTAATGACCTTCACTTTGCGGCCAAAAAAACTGACAATTTTACGCACATAATCTTTTGGACTTTTAGGAATATCATAATTTATAACCCAAACTACATCTGAAAAATCCTCGCCTCTTTTTAATTTAGGAGTAACTAAAACTTTGCTAATGCCAGATTGAAACTGATGTAATATGAGATGCCGCTGATGAGTATCCATTTCGTTATTTACAGCCGACACTAAACATGTTTTAAGACGCATGTTTTCTGCTATTCCTAGACACTTGTTCCATGAGTTACAGTAAACAACAGTATGTATTAAATTGAGTGTTTCATAGAGCTCGCACAACGCATCAAATTTAAATTCTTCAGGTACATTAACACAATACTGTAATATATCTATGAACAAATACTTTTACTAATAATTTAAAATTTATAGTTATTAATAATATAAAATAAAGAATTATAAATACCATTCAATGAAGGTTTTTCATCTGGCACTAATATATACTCAGGATTCTTCATTAAGTCAGAAAACTGATCTAAGATTTCCTCTACTTTTGAAGTGGACATAATAATTAATTGATGATTATTGTTAAGAAATAACAAAATATATCCAATTTTATTAGAAAATTCATTGCATTTAAACATTTCTTCTGCATCGTCAATTATAAGCATTTTAATAAAATCTTTACACAGCGAGTTGCAACTAATCATTTCACATAAGCCTTGCAAAGTACTGATCACTACATGAGGCACCGGTGAAAGCTTACGAGGAACATTGGTACCACCAATACATGTAGAAACATTTAAAAATTTCCCAATTGACTTCATTGTCTAAAAAATATTAGTAATTTAAAAATATTATAACTGTACATGGCCCTAATAATCAACTAAATACCTTTTGAGCAGACAATGCCAATTCTAATGTTGGAACTAATACAATAGCTTGACATTCATTTAAGTTAGTGTTAATCCTTTGCAACACTGATATGAGGCACATTGTTGACTTTCCCACACAAGGGTATGAATGCAAAATAACATCACGTCCGTTAATATAATGGAACATGCATTGCTGTTGCAAGGACATTAGATCCTGAATACCATACTGATGAATACCATTTAATAATTCATCCTTCAGGTCTAAAGTATGATATAACAACATAGGTTGTTTGTTATTATTAATAGAAGATAGTTTATCATTAGTATTGGTCCATAAATTATTCAAGTCTTCATTATTCAACAAAGAAGATGTAATTTTAATTTTATTATTTCGACAAACTGGATTATGAATTTCATTTTCATTATAATGAATAACAGAATTGCAAATATTCTTTAAACTTTTAATGTCACTGATGTATTTTGATTCAAACTGGTGGTTATATAGTTTATCATTATAAAGTTGAACATCTACCTCTGTGTTTACTTTTTGCTCAATGAATTCGTTTGATGCATTAGAATCTTTAGTAGTAGATGATAATGATGAAGTAATTCCTACTTCATATGTTTTAACATTGGTTGGAAAAACTGGATTATGAGTTTCACTTTCATAACTATGATCATTATTATTGCAAACATTTTCAAGATTTTTAATTTCAATAACATCTTTTGATTCAAACTGGTTAATACACAAATTATTATTGTTTACTTGAATTTCTACACTTAAATTTTCTATTGATCCATTTAATTGTTTAAGTACATTGATTTCAGTGAATGATAAGGATTTAATATCAATGTCATCATTAACCAACCAACCTGGCTTTTGAATTTCGTTTTTAAGATTAGCATCCACGTTGTTACAACTATTGGCCAAACTCTTAGTTTCACTAATATTTTGATCACAAATGTCTACACATGTATTTACTTTTGACACTGTTTTGTCCTAAAAAATAAAAGTTACATAGAATCTCATTCAAACAAAAAAAAATTATAAAAAATTATATTGTTATACGGTACTTTTTGTGTGACAGTAGTTGCCTGAAAAACATCAACATGATGTTCATCAGACATTTCATTGGAACTGATTTTCACCCACGAATCATTAACCAATAATTTTGACACCTTATTACATTCATTATCTAATTTTTTTATTCCAATATCATCAAATTCTTTATCATATAAACATGGCAGATGTGCTTTATGAAGTGTTGGTTCAGATTTTCTTTTATCACATTTCATTTCAATGTTTTCCTATAAAATAATAAAAACTAAATAATTTAAAAAATTCTACTTTGTTTATATAGAATACAATAACATATTAATACTAATAAAACTATACTCGGCCCAGCAAGAGAACGAGCAGTAGGCTGAACGAAAATTAGTTTTTCCTGATTTAACCCTGCCATGGGAAAAACATTTTAATAACAAGATGACCCAAAGGGACGCTTAGAATCAGTGTAACCTTCTCTGGCTGGAGAGAGTATACATGTATATTAAATAAAACAATATACAAACATTTCCATTGCAATTTGGAAGGTCTGATTTGTTTACAACATCATATAAGTCTAAGAGTTGTTCACTTTTACTACTTGTATTCATTGATAAAACAGTGCTTTTAGAACTAGATTGTATACAACAATTGTTATCTTTTACTTGATCACTATTATTCATTAAAGATTCAATTGAACCAATATTTGGGATTAGATGATCAACTAATGATAAATGCACACTAGACGCCATCAGTAGTGCTTCATCATACATAACTTTGTTTTCAACAGGTTTTTCTGAATAATTTAAAAGTTCTTCATCTGAAACCACATCATAATCGGATAAAATCATGATACTTTCCTCTGAGCTAACGTCACTCAAAGAATCCAATGTTTCAATGGCACAAATGCTATTGGATGTTAATAATGAACTCTCTGAGCATTTTCGGTCTTCAATATTTAGATCATTATTAGGTAGAGTGGAAACCATAAGCTGCCTTTGTAAAACTTGTTTTAAATACTCTAATGGTTTAATGTCAGTTCTTAAATTATTAACCATACTTTCTAACGATGTCAATATTTTTTGTTTATTCTCCAAATCGGAAATTTTCCGATTCACTTTTTCTAATGATAAACATTCATTAAGCACACAAATCTGATCTTGTAACATTTTTTTCTCAGCAAACAACTCCTCAATTTGTTTTTGGAGTTGGATTTGCTTCTTCACATATTTTTCAATTACAAAGTCCATTATTATTTTTATTATTTCATTTTTTACTACTCATTCTATTTGACATTTCAGCCTGAAACAAAATTATAAATAAATATAATAGGTACCAATTGATTTATAACTGAAAAATATAAATTATAAGTAAATACAATTTTATTTTGGGACATTATTTTCTTTTAGATTTTCACCTCTCTATTAATTATTTAAAATTACAAAACTAATTTTACTCAACTATTCTAAATAGTCTAAGTAAAGGTCATGTAGTATTGTAGTAAAAGTATAAATAATCAAGGTCATAAAATTATATAGCATAATGCACAAACCAAAATGTATACAGTTGTACAAAAGTAAACAATACATCTTATACAACAGTAATAGCCCACCCAAAATAAGATTAAAATATAATATGAAACAAAAACTGTACTGAGAAAATATACTAGAAGCATTTTTGCAAATAAATTCAAAATTATTTATATTTAAAATTACTATCACCAAACAGTTGTGTATTATGTGGCTGGGAGCTTCCCAAAATTTCATGGAAATTCAAAAAATGTTTAAATGTTTAGAGAATGTATTAGATACATAAGATGTAACCAAGTATTGAAATTATCATTTGTATGAAAGTTCCTGCTGAAGTTTGACTTTTTGCATACCCACGACATCAGCATTTGCATAGGTATTAGGTACCAAACTTATAATGGATTCTAATGAAGCGTCCTGTAGGGTACCTAATTATCAGTAGGTACCAGAGCAAAATCCTAGCAATACCACTTACTTCACATTAATTCAAACTTACGTATCCACCAGTTTTGTGTGGTATGGTTACAAAATAAAAAAATATTGCAATAAAGGGTCAATTATAAATCTAATAATTTATCGGTTATACCTAACTTATAATACCTATGGTACTGTACTATTTATTGCATGCATAATCATAATGCCTATCGTGATCAACAGTGTAATAAATTAAAGCCATCACATTGATTTTGAGCAATGGTAAAAATATTTAAAATTTAATGAGCTTACTTTTAGGTATCTTGTCAAACGAATCGCTAATACGTTTGAAAAATGAAGTTGTCTTGTAATACAACAAAAACACAAATGTTGGCAAAAAAAAAAATTCTGAGTTGAGTACTTATTGGACGACAACACTCAATAAAACTGCGGATAGGTTTAATCAATAATTAAAGTAATTCAGTAATCAGACATTAATTTTTATTTTTATTTTATATCCATTGGTTGCATAGTTAGTCCATCATAAATAATAACAGTATTGTACCTTTCTATTGCTAACTGCAGCTGAGTATTGCGTAGTACGTGATAAAGATTTACTTTATCATTTCGTTGTTGTTGTTGTTGTTGTTGTTATTATTATTCAATATTTATTATAATTTATGGCCTTATGAGAGCTGCAAGCAGCTTGGGTAGTTAACCTAATCACCAAGATAGATAACAAATAACAATATCATCACATAATAAATAATTATTCTGTGATATTATCACATTGTAAATTTGTAAATTTGTTGGAATGTTAGTCTGTGGTGATAACCACATTGAGTGCAGTGTATTGTTTTACAGCACATAATAGGAATTATATTATAATGAATTGTAATTCTAGTTATTCGTGTAAGTCAATACACATTAACACATGATTTAAAATATTTTACTGGACTACTGTACATAAATATTAAATACATAATAATAACCAATCGGTCACATTTTTTTCATTGATTTTCTATCAAACTATGAATCCGTGTGTTATTCCAACAATTCCATTTGATGCCGACGAAGAATGGAAAATTCAAGTATGTATAAAATGTATAAAAATATAACAAAAATGTATGATCTATCATAATGTTATTTAGACTAAAAATTAATTATTCATTTATTTTACTTATTAGCACAAACGTTATGTGGCTGAAGCCAAAGCCCAAGACCCAGATGTTATCTTAATTGGTGCCTCTATTATTCAATTAATTCAATGTTATCCTATATGGAATGACAAATTTGTACCTTTAAAAAGTCTAAATTTTGGAATCTGTGGTGATCGAACCCAAGATGTGTTATGGAGAGTAAAAAATGGCATTCTTGATCACATAAAACCTAAAGTAGATATAAATAAATAATTAGGTTTTATTTAATCCTTTCATAATTTTATAAATGAATTATTTATTACATTATTTTATTGTTTTATAAAATGTCCCTGTAATTTCTTACAGGTCTGTATTCTAAATGTTGGATCAAATAATGTTGATAACACTCCTATTCAAATTTCAGAAGGTATATTGGCTATTGTTGATGAAATTAGATCAAAACTTCCCGATTGCTACATTATAATCATAGTAATAATTAAATTTTTATTTTTATTTTTTTTAAATCATAACTTTTTTACTAATAAATATTAAATTATAAATACCCAAACGAAGAAGATGTCTAAAAAATATTTACTCAGGTAATGATAGAAATCAAGTTGATTAGGTAAAATAAATTTACAATCTCCATATTTGACACGGTACGCAAAGGAAGCCAGTACAAAGTATAGGCATCACTGTGGTGCCACCTGCATACACTTTACTACACGTGGGTTTATATTTTTTAAAGTTCATACTTACTAAAGTGTCCTAAAAGTGTGGTCCAACTTGTGGTCCAGTGAATTGACTCTGGAGTTCATCAATCATTGAGTGATAAAAATGACTAAATGTTCTAAGCTATAGCAAAATGGTTAAACAATTTTAAACTGTGTCACTTTCTCATTCAAACTGTTGATAAAAGAGTCAATACAATTTGTAACCACGTGTCTGGATAACTTTAAAAAGTAATGTGAAACAGTAAGTGCTACTTCAAAATAAGCTTCTGAAAAAAACAGTCAATTTTCAAATTAATATATTTATTTCACAATTACATATTGGGTATTGTCAAAGCTTGTGATCTACCTTGAAAACAGTAAATAACTAGTGAATATAATTAAGTATATAATAAAAATTAATAAAATATAAATAAATATATAAAAATATATGAAAATATATAAAAATATTAAATTACAATTTTAATGTTTATGTTACAAATATTTATAATTTAATAATACCTTAAATACGATTTTTACTATTAAGTTTTTTTTTGGTTGCCATACTTATTTGAATGACATGTAACTTTGCCCTTGAAGTATGGACTAACAAAGGTTTGACTACTGTTAAAAACAAAATTTCATTGATCAAAATAATGGGAATTCTAGCATATTAAGTATATAATATGAACAAACAAATTTGAATGTGTCTTACTTATTAACATTTTGAACTCATCTCTTTGTATATTTAATGATTTTTATCTACAGGGAATATTACCACGTGGTCCTTATCCAAATCCATTGAGAATTTTGGGAACTCAAGTAAATGCAATTGTCAGTGAAAAAGTGAAAAATACTTTCAAAGTTGAATTATTCAATGCTCATTTGCTGCAACCAGATGGTACATTAAGTCAAGAAGATACACCGGATTATCTTCATCCATCTGAAATAGGTTATTATAAAATATTCAACCCAATTTTTGAGCGGCTCAAAAAAATTCTAGATAACTGAATAAAAATATTCCCTTAATAATATTATATTTTTGTTTAAAAACTTTTTTTTTAGATGACTTAAAATACAGTGTAACCTTCTTAATGTATTCATTAAATTATTTAAAATTTAAGTGATAAAAAATAGAAATTAAAATTTTGTTTTGATAGTTTATAATTTTTAATAGTTATAGTCTTGATATTTTATTCTTTAAAATGTGTAGAGAAATTTTTATTTCTAGAAAACATATAGGTTGTTAACTATTGAAAAAGATATGTCCCCATTAATTATAATTATGAACTATATTTAACATAGAAGAATAGCTGAACTCAAAAATTAAAAACTTATGTGGTATGTTACAGACATAAATCATCAAACCAATATAAAAAAAAAAGGTTATTGTTTATATAAATAATATATTTATTTTATCTATAATTTGGGATGAATATTAAAATTGTTATTACTAAAAAACTGCTCTATCTAATTTTGAATTTGGTACACCAATATTAAAAAAAAAAAATAATAATCCACTAACTAAACTATTGTAAAAGAGAAGTTTATATCGCCATAAAACACTTTAGAACAAAAAATCTCAAGAATTCAGAAAATATTCATTGAGTATAAGGATTTTAAAATTCCAAAAATCAGAATTTTAATACATTTATTATTAAATCAAAAATTGAGAGTAAGCATGCTTAGTTAGCTATATATAGGTGACATTTACACTTATTTTTTTCTTAAAACTTTAGCAACAATTTGTTCTTATTGTTGTATATACATATACATTAATATTAATTATTTTTACCAGCATACTGAAGCCACCTTTCTAGAAAAACCTCGAGTGTTCAGGAAGTCTAGCTTGGGGGGTCTGCTCTACAATTTCAAATAACCCAATGTACCTATAATAATCTTCAATTTCATTAAATCTATCTTTGTTCATGCTGTTCCACTCAGATATTAAACAAAGAAATGCAGGTGAACCTCTAGGTTCAAAAATATTTCCATTACTATTCAATTAATACATATTGTATGACTCCAAATTTCCAACACTGAAATAGCTCAACACGCGGATGATTGTGAAAAGTTTAAAGTGCTAATGAAACTGAAAATGTAACCAAAAACATCCAATCTCATCTCAACAAAATCTAAACATTTGATTGTTTAGGTACAACATAATTGATTGGTTTTACTAATTAAGATGACAGTTCTGATAGGTATATAAGTAATAAGTATTAACCACTGTGGCACTGTCCACCTAATTGCAGAAAATTGATACATTCCACTTTTACATAAATTATAATTCTCAAAATATTAAGACTAATTGTAAGCTTTTATAGACATTTTGAATTTTTTAGTTGTTTTTTATCTAAATGTTGATAAAATATCACATGGGTAAGTATTGTACTTTTAGCAGTTTCAAATATATAGGCACTGTTTTTTTTGATAAGCGTTTGAAGTTTAAACTTTACGGTGAAGTTTTGCAAACTTATATTGTTAAACATACAATTATTATCAAATAATTGTGTAAGCAATGGCCACATATTATTGTACCTAACACAGGCAATACAGATAACATTTCAGTTCAACTACAATAGGTACAATTGTATTTTTATGTATATTGAAGTAAGTATAACAATAATCAAATTATTAATTAATAAACAATTCATATTTAAATATTTAGAAAAAAATTTATAATTTTTTAGTTAAGCATGTAATAATTTAGAAGGTCTTTCACAAATATCAATTTCAGATTTTTTTCATAAATACTAGTATTTATAATCAATGCTATTATTCAATGACTACTTATTCAATAATATATTACATAATAAAAAAATGCACGTGTATTTCTATAAAAACCACAGTAACAACGAGATACGACTATAAAGACATTACAGAAAAATAAATTATCGTGTTGGTTTCGAATACGGAATAAGATTATTGTTTGAAAAGCAGTAAGCACACCTTTACTATGAATACCAATCAGGAACTTATAGGTACAAGGTACTATTAAAGGTTCTCTCTTTGAGAGAATGTTAATTACATGGCATTCATGTAGGTACTAGGTACCTATATTAATTGTTTTCCATCCCTGCCCGTCCGCCGCACCTATGCGCAACATTTGAATAAAGGGGTTAAAGTGACTACTCAGTGCCCCTACCACTGACAGTGGTTAAAAAGCGTCCCCTTTAACAAATTAGTATTTTATACATTAGAAATTATACATAAAATGATGTATAGAACGCTCAATACTATATGGAGACATTAGTCTTCTCTAGAATTTTTTTTCCACTTTAAACCCTGCACATGATATTTGCGTTTCTCAGAACCAATCTTGCATTGTTGTTATGTTCTGAGATTTAATATAATGAATTAAACATTTAAACTATTATCAAACTTGATTAGATTAAAATGCTAATTAGAACATCTGATTTCTGGCTTTAACTAATATTTTTATAATTTTAAACCAAGTTATGAGCGTTCTTTAAGATTGCATTATTTTTTATACGAGCTAGTATTAAATTTAGTACTTATTAGTTATTATTTATACTCTCCAATATTGAAGCTAACAACACAAATTACAATATTGACTCTACTCAAGTAAGTAGGTAGGTACTATAAAGACTTAACGCATATAGGTAAGTACTTATATGGAATGTTGCAAGGGCCAAGGTGGGTGGTGGGTCTGAGACTCGGAGGAAGAAAACTATATCTGGGATGACCAGTGGTCGAAGTGCCCCCTCCACTTTTGTTGAGACTCTTCGAGAGCTGGGGATGACATATATGTCTATTTCTGACATACCTACCTTTCTCATTTGTGAAGAAGAATTTTATGGAGATTACATTTTTTTGAAATTCGAAATTAGAATGAACTAAGGTCATCCCTCTCAGAAGTCATCACAGAATAGAATACGAAATTAAGCCTACTGAATTCAATACCTAATAGTTATACGATTATTAATAATTTACTATAATATCAAATCAACAGTTAAGGTTAAGTGATTGTAACCATTGATTCAATTCTAAAATTCATAATATTACATCGGTGGAAAAGAAATCGAGCAAACTATAATGTTGCATAATTCATTTCGTCGAGGTCTTCACCCTTGCTACATAATATGGTGTTATCAAAAAGTTTAATGAAAAGTACCTAACCGTGATGATGTCTCAACATTTGTACCAATCAATTCAATCCGTTCTCAATCGTCGATATGTCGAATGTTCGACTTCGAACGATGTAAACAATTTTACTTAACTAATCTTTTGGATTTTTTTTTTTATTGACACACTGGTATTTTAACAAGACCATTCCGTGTTTGAACGGCGTGTTAGATTATTTACGTATACAATGTTACCATGCGTGGTTTTTTGTTTGGTTTTATGTATCACCACCAATGTCACAAGGGCGGCAAATATATTGGTTTTCATGCCATTACCGATTAAAAGCCATGTCCGAGGATTCCAACCGTTGTTCGAAGAATTGTCAAACCGAGGGCACAATGTAACCGTGGTCAGTTCATTCCCTCTAGATCGTCCAGTTGCCAACTATACAGATATAGGGTCATTCGTTGACAAAACAAGAGGTTCGTGGAAGTTTATTAAATTATAATCAACACGTCAGAAATTACAAATTGTATAAATTATATAAAATTAATAATATTATGTACCTACTTATTTATTATGTATGCCTTACATTTAGTACTTACCTATATTATATTTTTGAAAATATCATTATTCGTTAATCTTTATAGGCTACAGGTATTTATAATATGTCATTAATATCAAAATTATATATAGGTACATAGATAATATATCTGAGATTTGAAATTTGTATACCAGAATCCTCTAGTTTTCTTACATTTGAAAAAAAAAATTACCTGAAAGTCAAATTAATTTTTATAAGCATTTGAAGTCAGACATTGGTTAATCATTTACAAGTAAATAAGGTAACGAAATCTCATACAATAACAATGTTCTTATTTTGTTGTTGTTAATATTATTGTTAAAAAAAAACTCTTAATAGTAGGTACCTACATGAAATTTTCAAAATATTTTGACTCATTTTGAGTTATTTTTAGATAAAGACATTTTTAATTTTAAATTTTTTTAGTTTTTTTTTTACAAACGTAAATAAAATGTTATTCGTAGGGACAAAAAAACTGAAAATTTAATACAAGGTTTCTTATAAATTGTTAAAATACCAGTTGATTATTATTTAAGTCCACGGCACGATTTTTTTATAAGTATTAAAGTTCAGATTTCGACAACATTTATCAAAATGATTAAATTATTTTTTAGGTAGGTAAATAATGATTAATTTTTGTAACTAAGAATTGAAAATTTTAAACAAGGATTCTCATAAACAGCTGTCAGGCCGTCTTCACTCGGAATAGTTTTTGGTACCTATACAATGATTATTTAATTCAAATTTAACAGTTCCTTTACAGTGACTCTCCACCTCCACGTTCTAGTCAGTGGTATGTTCAGCTTTTTTGAAACGGGGGATATCAATAATTTTTGACTAATCTTAGACCACTGCACATATAATGGTAAATATACTTCCATTACTTTATTATATATTTTATATGACAAAATGAATCCAAAATTGGATTATACGCTCTCCTCGTGGGCACTCCTCTGGTGCTAGTGCGCTACACTGCTACTATAATAATATTATATATACGTTGTATATACGTACAAGTGTACAACGCAAACTTCATGAACATAATAGACCTATTAATATTATAATATTTATCGTATACGGATGCATGAATATATTACTATATAGTATTATTTAATCTAGACAAAATGTACACAATTTAATTTAATTTTACATAATATCAACCAAACAAAGATATTTATGAATTTATAGTACTTTTCGTTTCAGGGAGAAACGTAATGGATTTGGTAAGCATGAACTTTGTAACATCGGTTCAGTTGAAATGGCGCATTTGCATACAACTATCGGAAATGGTCATGTCGCATAGAAAGATGAAACAATTCGTTCAATCGAGTTCAAACTCGTTCGATTTGATTATGGTCGAAACATTCGGCCAAGAGTATGCTGTAGCCATGGGTCACAAATTCAACGCCCCCGTAATTAATCTAGCACCAGCGATGATCTGGGCAAGTATCAGCAAATGGCTGCACGTCCCTTCGACGTTTTCGTACATACCGGATGCGTGTACCCAATCGACCAGCGACATGGGTTTCATCGAACGTCTGAAGAACTCCATTACTGGATTCATGCAATTATATGTAGAAAATTACTTGTATTTACCCAAAACGAAGGAAGTGATGGACACATACCTCAAGTACAGGGGCTGGGAATCCAGGCCTCCACTCGAGCATATGTTGAACAATATATCCCTAACACTGGTAAACTCTCATAACGCGATTGGTATATCTAGAGCATACCTTCCGGGCATCATTGAAGTGGGTGGGATGCACATCAAAGACCCAAAACCTCTGCCCAAAGTAAGTATATAGCACTGACGTAGTGGATAACCAGTGTCATTCTACTTTTGGTATTGTAAATTGTATAGCCTGGATTTATAGCCTATAGATTGGTAGGTATGTAAAGAATCGTCTTGTTATATTCATAAAATCTGCATGGGCATAATATTTTACATATTTTTTTTGTAAGTAGGTATTGTAGGTTTTTAATTATTTTAAATACAAAATACAATAATAAGTTTTTGAATTATGTTTCTCTAAAAGTATTTGAAATATAGGTATTTATAAATAGATACCTAGACTTACTAAATACTTACTTGTAACTTACTTGTATGACTTGTAACTTATAAGTTATAAGTTATAACTATAGGGCAGCGTTTCCCAAAGTCTGTTCCGCGGAACCTTGGGGTTCCGTGAGACAATGTCAAGGGTTCCGCAAGATGTATGAAATTATTGAGAAAATTATGTTTATTTAATGTTTGTTATTTAAAAAATTTTTGATTGGAAATTTTTTTTTTTAAACTAAGGTTAATAATAAAAAGTCATTAACAGTATCATTAAAATATTATTTAGACTTGAGAGTTTAGAGAATTGATTTTCCTTTTTTTATTTAGAAAAATTGTAGTTGAGTTGGATTAGACATTAGGCTTTCGCGAAACATAAACAATTTTTTAAGGGTGCTGTGGTCGTAAAAGTTTGGGAACCGGCTGCTATAGGGTACCGAAAAATTGAAACTTGAAATTGATACCTGATTTAATGCTCATTGATATATTATTTATACGTTATACCTGTGGTTTAACAATCATGTTATGGTATTATATTATTGTATATCAACATTTTGTATTTACATTATACTATTTACTATAATATAAAAATCACAACTTTTGTTTATAATTTTAGAATCTTCAAACATTTTTAGATACAGCAAATGAAGGAGTAATATTTTTTAGTTTTGGTACACTAGTTAATTTAAATGACTTACCTAAAGCCAAATTGAAAGTTTTTATTAGCGTTCTTGGAAGATTAAAACAAAAAGTAATAATAAAATGGATACCTGATGATAATAATGTAAAGCTGTCTCAAAACATCATGACTGGTTCATGGTTTCCACAAAGAGATATTTTAGGTAATAATATTGACACATTGTTGTCAGCAATACACTAGTTACTAATACAAAAAATAATATTTATATTACATAACGTATACATACAGCTCATCCTAATGTAATACTTTTCATTACTCATGGAGGATTACATAGCTTAGAAGAAACCGTTTGTAATGCAAAACCTATAGTTGGAATACCATTTTTCGCCGAACAGAATTTCAACATGAAAATAGTTGAGGAAAAAGGTTATGGTAAACTGGTAAATTTTTTTGAAATTACTGAAGAATCCTTTGGAAATGCCATTGAAGAAGTCTTGTCTAATGTCACGTATGTATACAAATTATATTAACTGATACTATTTTATATTATCTCAAAATAATTCTTTTTAAATTAGGTTTAAAGAGAAGGCAATAATACAGAGTCTGGTGTACAAAGATCAACCGATGAAACCCCTAGATCGTGCTGTTTACTGGGTCGAGTATGTTATTCGGTATGGTGGAGCTGGACATTTAAAAAGTGACTCCATAGGGTTAAATGATTTACAGTATTTTTTGTTTGACATATCATTAATTGTACTACTATCTTTTGGACTGATTGCTTGGTTATGTTATTTTTTATTTGTAAAAATTATGTCTTAAAATGTAAAAACAATTTAATGACTTTAAAACTTATTATAAATACTACATATTACACTATATATTTTACTTTATTTTTTGCTTTTAAAATTATAAATCGGTAAATGTTTTATTAACAAACTAATTTTATACCAATTAATATTTAATATATTTACTCTCGTGTACTTTCTCGTCATATTATTTAAACTATCAGCAATATCTGATACTCGAATAATAGATAAGTATAGTATATGTATATTATAATAGGTACCTATTTATATAATATAGAAAAAAATATTATAGACTGAGGCCGTCTGGCGTTCGGCCAGATCTCTAATTATGAAATTTCTGTCCGGCGGGTTTTCGAAAAGTTATATTGTAAAGTTATTAGATATTTAAAACTTAAAATAAGTAAATTCAATGCATGCCACTCAAATGGTCAATTTTGTAATTGTAATAAATAATAACTGACGTACACAAATTCCTAGAAAAAAAAATTTTTATAAACTAATATTATCTAATTAAGTTTAACAATTATTGTACCTATATAATACAGTAAAACCTCTAGATAGCGGGAAAAATAGACGAGAAGATATCTTCTCTACATCGTGGGCCTTAGTTAGACGATGATAACTGATAAGAATAGGTAGGGTATATTTCATAAATATAATATTAATATTAAATCAAATATTATGTCTCAAACTCTCAACTTTGTCTGATTTATTTTTATTGAAATTATAATCATGAACTATGATAACGTACAGCTGGTAGGCCCTGCAGTATATATTTATTTCAAACATTATAATATTTTGTAACATTTATTGGAATACGAAACCTGCTTTTAATAATACATTGTGTAGAAGCTTATTATATATTATTTGAATTTAGAAGGTATTATATTATAATACGTCAGTGCCTATTTTAGCAGTCCCCGCGGCGCCGTCAGTTCAAACATGAAAAAAAAAAAGGTACTATTAATAGTACCTACATGATATATACAACAGATAATAATCATAATAAATAATGACCTAGTAGGTGCTATGTATAGCTTATCTGCTTATGTTACTAAAATATTAATAAAAAAAAAAATTAGGTACGTCACTTTATGACTTGAACCAATATTATAGATACTACCGCCTGTTTTGTATTGACTTATTAGTTATTACATTATTACTTTTATAGTTGTGTAATTTGAGTATAAATAAAGGAGACATATTTTTTTATTGTAGGTCCTATATCATTAATTACCTAATGACTCAATATAATACAATTTATAATTATAAATTATAACTTATAACACAATATATTATGTATACTTAATGTGTTCATATGTATTTACATAAAAAATTTTTTCGATGGATTTTTTTTCCGTGGGCTTTTTTTTAATTGGGCTTTTTTCCGTGATTCATCTATATTATTGTAATATTATGTCAAATAATAAAATGATCAATATAAACTAAAAAAAAAACAACTTTAAAATACGATTGACGATTACTTATGTAGTTATGTCACATAAATTATCTAACGCACATTATATACATGATAAATATTACGATAGTACAAAATATAGTATAATATGTAATAAATATAGAATATATTGAACATTGCTGTACAGATAAGCAATTTTGTATATTCACATGCAAGTATGTAACATGTCACATAATCATTTATTATAATATTTTTTATAATTTACTTAGTGCCTATTATTGCACATATTCACTGTATATAAACTCGCGAAGGCAAGGTGACATCATATTTATAGACGTAAACCTAAAAAACAAGGGGTGCTATAAACTATAAAGGCCCTTTTGCATTTCCCTATGGGCTATGATTGCGCCAAATGCCAATTTACCTATCAAAAATTATCTGTTGTGACGTTTTTTTAGTTATTATATTATAATATGATAATATTTGATAACATTTAGTTTTATTGTGTATTTGTGTGTACCTACCAAATTTCAAGGGAACTTAAATTTTGTTCGATTTATCGAACGAATAAAAACAATTCAATATAATAATATCGACTTTCAACATAAATCAGTAGGCATACTAGGTACCCTACATAATAAGAATATAGTTACTTACTGTATTTTTAATTTTCATATCACCTATAAATTATAATTTATAATCATTATTACCTACCTACTTAAGTAAACTTAAATTGAGTAATAAAAAATAATTACCTATTATAGTTATCAGTTACTAGTTATTACCATGTACCTTCGTCAAATTGTACGTATACATAGTTATTGCTTATTAGTTATTACTCATTAGTCATTATTTGACATACCTACCTACTAGATAATATTCATAGAATTTATAAGTGGTAACTCATACCTAGGAAGTCCTCGTGTTTGTACGTTGAATTTTTCAACCTGGTGCATATAGTATGTACAATTGTACATGAGTTATAAGTAGGTGGCTATAGCCTATAAGTATATCAAATATTACAATTTAAAAATTATTTTTAAAATATCGAAAAAAGAAACAATAACAAAAGTACCTAGGCAGTGAATGGTTTAAATAAAACAAAAAGTCTTCTTTTTGTAAACGAATCCCGATTTCTGGTATCGAAATTATATAGGCTGATAAATTAATTAGGTACAGTCCTTCTGATTGTCTTAAACAAATGTACATTTATACATTATAGTACCTCGTGAGTCGTGATTGCTACCTACTAACTATACCTACTGAAACAAATAATAATAATATGTAGCCATGTAGGTAATACTGTAATAGTAGGTGAAATATTCACAATAGGTTTGACTGTACAATAAAACAATTTAATATGTCATTACTCGTATTACGTCTTTATGCATTTTTCAATTACGATTACAAAACTATTAGGATTTACGAGTATTACGATTTCTTCTTTATTTACGACATAAAAGATAACTAAAATGATAACTATTGTTTACTATTGGCTTAAATTCTACCAATTCATTCAATTCACGCACCAGCCCCTGTGGCCTAATGGATAAGGCATCGGTCTCCTAAACCGGGGATTGTGGGTTCGAGTCCCACCAGGGGTACGGGCCAAATTTTTTGCATTTTTTTCCAGTACTACTTATGAATTTTATTTAATAACTACATGTTTAAAACTTAAATCCTAAAGAGCGGGTAAAAAGTTGTGAAATTTATCTTTCGGAAAAAGTATTTTTGTTAAAAAAGAAAAATGTCACATTACGGTTAGAAATTGGAATTGTATTACAGGTTCTAAGAGGAGATAACCTAACAATATATATATAGGTACATACATAGGGATATCGGATATGTAGGTATCCAACATAGGCGGAGATCTAGTGAAATATTAAGGGGGGCTCAAATATTTGATGACAAACAGACCCGTGGGGGCATTACCCCCACACCCCCCACAAACTAATTTTTACATTAGATCACTCATAAAAAATTGTTCTCGTTGACTCGTTATCATAACAACTTAAATAGTTACAAACATAAAAAAAAAAATAATTAATAAACGATTTAAATTTAAATATTTCAAACATATTTGAACTAAATTATTTATTAAAAATCTAAATCACAATCTCAAAAGAAATGTATTCCCAAGAACATCAAACAATAAGTAAAATATAATTTAGTATAAAATGGTCAATACGGTTAACGATTCATTCAATCGCGATACACTTTACGAATTTACGATAGGTTTAATACAGCTATAGCGATAGTCCTTTAATAGCTATCGCTTCTCGAGAATTAACAAAAATTAGGAAAAGAAATAATATTTTTCCCATCTAAAATAGAATGGTATAATATGTTATTCAATATAGATGGCCAATTGATACAAAATATGTACAATATTAGGTATATAAACACAATATAATATTATTGTGAATAGTGACTTAATTGTTCGGTATGTTACCGTAAATAATAAATTGGTAAATAGTGTGTATGTAATGTACTAGGTACACTTATATAATTGTGGATATTAGAATATAAAATAATGAAAAAAGTCCTGCAAACTGTACAAAATTACGGTATTGTTTGTTTAATATTTTTTATTTATTAGGTGGTCTTTAACTTCAAATCATTTATTTTGGGGGGACTAAGCCCCCGTAAGCCCCCCCCCCCGATCTCCGCCTATGGTATCCAATCCCTGTGTTTTGGGCGAATGAGAAAATAATTAATATCATCTAATACAGTAATACCTAATACTTGATTTACAAATTGCATTAATGATTATAATGTATTGTTTGATAATAATATATAGGTACTGATAATAAGGTTAGTAAATAATAGAGGGTGATTCACCAAGCATGCTCACCCCAATTTTTTCCTTTAATAATGAATTCATTCAAATTCTGGGTTTTGGAATTTTTAAATACAGTACTAACTTCAATGGTCATATTTTAAAATTCTTGAATTTTTTTACTACCTACCTGTTGTGATACAAACTTCTGTTTTCAAATGAGAACCCCTTCATTTACTGTAAATTAATAAGTGGATAATTTTTCTTAAAATTTTAATGTAGGTACCACATTTGAAATTCAAATGAGTAGTTTTTTAGTTATTAAAACGTTTGTATTAAGGATAATAGTCCTTAAAACTGTTTTTACATAACTATAAAATAGGTGGACATAAAATTGAATGTATTATTTATTATACTTGGGTCACTTTTACAAATTATTAACATCGGTAGATTAATTTTAATGACTACAATTTTCAAATCACTATAGGCTCCATATTTAATAAACTCATTACTCGTTAGGTACCCACTGTGGACCTTTTAACCTTAGAACTCAAAATTAAATAACTCAAAAACTACTCGTACCTACAAATTTTGATTTTGATACGTCAACAATTTTAGAAAAATTATGTACCTTATAATTTATAGTTGAATAGAGGTGTTCTCATTTTAAAAACAGAAGTTTCACAGTAAAGTGGTACAAATCCTCAAGAATTTGAAAATAAGGTCTTAAAGTAGGTATATTTAAAAATTTAAAAAAATCCGATTTTGAATAACTATTGCATTATAAAAGAAAAAAGGTTAGAGTGCCTACCTACATGGTAGTTACACAGTACCTACCTATCCATATGTGCCCACCAATGTATTATAATGTTGTTAAAATTAAAAAAAATATTTCATACAATGCCAAGGTAATAAGTATACCACACTCAATTGAGTGAGTATTGTTTAACAAAGTGGGGATGACCAGGATAACAATTAGTCTTACAATTTATTATAATTTATAACTTTATAATATGGAAAATATTGTCTTTAACTGCACTCAAAAATTACAAAAATCAGAATATTTTAATAAAATATGCGTAAGCATAATGTAAACATAAAAAGGGCGTGGGCAGTATTCATTTAATTAAAACGTAAGACGCAAGTACTGAAAGGTGGATTACAACAGTTTATTAAACCATAAAATAACCGATTTCATACTTTAATGGTGCCTACCTAGTACCTAACATGTATTTATATAAGTATAACTACTAACTAGTACGTGAACAAGAAATGTTGTAAATACAATTTATAAAAGTATAAGTGCGGGTGTAACTGTCAAGTGATATTACGACTAGGTACCTAACCTAAGGACTAGACAATACCATATAATAGTATACTATATACATAGTAAAGCGGTCCCCAACCTGTTGGTAGCACGGACCAACAATTTTGTAAAAATAACTTTGAGGTTTATTAACTAAATATATAGGTAAAAAATACAGGTTTTCTTCGATTTTTTTTCCACGGCCTAGTACCACGCTGCCTATGGGTTGGGAACCGTTCCTATATTATTTTAAGTAAGTTTACCAACAATAAATAGTTATGTCATCAATAATTATCTCTCATCTCAAAATAATATAAAAATGAGATCACTGAATTGAGAATAATATTGCAATAGGTATTAAAAGAAATTATTTATTATTATTTATTATCAGAGAACAAATAAATAATTATAATTAACTGCGATTAGAACACAATAAAATGGTTGTTTCATCTGGCCTTGTTGCAGACAGTCTAATAATCAAAAAGTTTTGTTTATTTAAGATTTAACAATAGTAAATAATTAATTATTACCTACCATTGATTATAAATACTAATCAATGCTACTATAAAGAATTAAAAGACTAATAAGCCAAACATTTTATTTTTTTATATTGCTTAAATAATGTTTTAAGCATTTCAACACTGATAATAGTCTTAATTATCTGACAATGGTCTATTCAGGAATCGCCAAAGAACCCAAAAATGACTTAACAAGGGACCTATTGGCAATCTAAGACATCCCCTTTACAAATGGGCAGTATTTTTTGCCCCCCCCCCACCCCAGACCAAAAATTAAGTGTAAAAACATTGAACAATATACAAATGCAAATATATAAATGTACTTTTTATTAAATAAATATTACTATTTTTTTTTTTTATCAGTATTAGTATAAATATTACAAATACAACATTAAATAATAAAAATTAAAAAAACCATATATTTTAAACTAACTAGTATTTATTTTAGTAGATAGTTCAAGGACTAAAACACCAGTACCGGAGGAGACAATTAAGTATCAATAATCATTACGCTAGCTTATTATTTTACATTGACATTAAATATATTTAAAAATAAATAATCATTAATAAACGTGGTAGCAATAATAACACATGTTGCCAAAAACACTTTTATACATATTTTTTTTTTAATTGGTCTTATTTTTAGTTTCACCTGAAAAATTATTTAAAATTGGAGATGTCTTGTTATTGCTGCCACGTCTCGGTCATGTGACAATAAAATAATGGAAAAAATAACTTAATTATAAATAAGAAATACAATACAAATATAACTTAAGGTTCACAATAAGATATTAAAATTAATTCATTAAAAGTAGACTTACATCATTTATAAACACAGAAATTAAAAAATAATGCATGTATAAAAATATTCTGAAAAATTAGTCTACATTGTACAACAGTGTCCTATGTATCTCACCTTTTTCAAATGATTTAACTAAATTAATTAAATGCATGCGAATCAAGCATTAAACTCAAATTGTATGATATCTAGATGTATGTAATTTCAATGAGAAAGAATCTTTAAATGCTACTGGACAGTATGGACATTTTATAGGATTGATTTCAGGATGCAAAGATTTAATATGACGAAGCAAGTTACATTTTGTTATTACTATACTACACCAATCGCATTCAACAGTTTTTGATTTTAGCTTCCGAGCAGGGAGTTTAAAACGAGAATGGTGCTGTCTATTATGTTGACTCAGGGATTGTTTTGATTTGAAATAATTACTGCAATAGGAACATTGAAATGATTTTACAATTTTTGAAATATGCTGTTTTTCACCTTCGCCATCTGTGCTCGTAATTATTTTTGCTTCAGAAACAGATCTGTGTTCTATTGATCCTGTAATTGCTCTTTGGTCATGTAGCGAATGACTTTCATTAAATGAAGTGTCATTAGAAATATCATTTGACATGTGTGATAGTAAGTGTTTTTCAAAATTTTTCTTTAATACAAACTTTTTATGACACTTATTACATATCATTTGTTGTTTGTGTTGCTTATAGTGAATATTTAATTTGCTGCGTGTTGTGAAATGACGATTGCAATCTTTACACTTAAAACTTCTGTTCAAATTAATCTTCGGTAAAAAGTATTTTTGAGATTTTCCACTACTATTTTTATTTTGACTTTTCATTTTCTTTTTGTCTAATGCCAGTTGTCTCCTTGAAGTCGTTTCACTTCTATAAGTGTGGTATTTCAAATGACCATTTAATGCTGCATGAGTTTTGAACGATTTAGTACACAAATTACATTGATAGAAGTTGGAAGTTCTATTTGAAATATTACTACAAATATTATGATGATTAAGAAATTTAGTTTCAGACCCTGTTGCAAACACACAATTTAGACACTTAAATGATTTGAATGTTTTTTGATTTATATTAGGATCAGTTACACTTAAGTTTTGGGTAAAATTGTTCGATACATTAGATGAAGACTGAATTTCCGGAGGACTTATGGATGAATTTCTCATGTGTAAATAATCAACATGGACACCCAGATGTAAATTCAAATGGGCCATAAGTTCAAATTGCACATTGCAAACTTTACACACGTAAGGTTTAATTTTATGTGCTAAATTTTTATGGACTATACATTCTTCAAAATTATTAAAATTAGCATAGCATATTTTACAAATAAATTGATCTTCGCTAACAATTTCCACATAGTTTGAAAATGTAGTACCCTCAATAATATTTCTAATTCTGTTGTCTTGCTCAGTTTTTATTTGAACTTCGTTAGTAGCTTCAATTTTAACATTAACCTCGAACTCCTCCACTGTAGATTGCCATGAAGTATGTTCCATTGTAGATCTAAGATACATAAAAAAATAATATCAGGTTATACGGTTAAAGTACAAACAATAAGGTATAATTGTATTCAGTACATTGAAATATATTGTGAACATTCAATTGAACTATGCTGCATGAAGGTTTTTTCTGTAAAACATTTATTGGACTATCAGCTTATTTAACATATGTATTATCTGGACCCTGGACTCAGTTAATTACACAAAGTAATTGGTTGAAGAAGTGGTGTACATTTACTACAGTCATTCAGTTCATTTATGCTTGGTTAGGGTTAGCACTTAAGTTAAATATTATACAAATATTTCACTTTGGCTATGATTCACACTCACACACAAAATATTAAGACATTTTGGAGTTTAGTTAGGTAGAAAAACTAAGTTTAAAGAAAAGTGGCTAGACACATAACCTAGATTTATACTTGATAGAATTCATGTAGTTCAAAACCCAATGACAACATTTCGATTATATTTTGAGAGACAAAAGCATTATAAAAATATATAGTGTGATTCCATTAAAAGGTATATAATTCTGTACAGCGATATTGGATTGAAATGGGGTGTTTTTTATAACAGTTAGGGACTAATTAAATTCACATTTTTTCTAAAATTTTGAAATGTTTAACCTTTTTAGTGTACACATGAGCAATACAACTAGCATGTCTTTAAATAGTAACACCTACTTTCAAAGAGAGATTTGGATAGAACAAAATTTTAGTTATTTCAGTACTTAGCTCCAACCATAGCTCTAAAACCTAAATTGACTAAATGATAATGAGGAGCTTAAGTTTTGATTAAAACTATCAAATTTTTCAAAAATCATCCTAGAATTGTAAGAATTATTATGCGTTTATAATTTAAATTATAAAAAATTTATATTTACATTTTATTGCATAATTTATAAGATTCTAGGATGATTGTTGAAAAATTTAATGATTTTAATAAAAATTTTAATTGGTAAAAAAGACCAAATTGACTTAAAACATTTTGTTCTATCAAAATTTGTTAAAAGTATGTGTTGCTATTTAAAAAAATGATAGTTGTATTGCGCATTTACACAATAAGAAGGTTAAAATTTTGAAAATTGTAAAAAATTGAGTATTTTAAGTCCCTAAATATTTAAAAACACCTTAATTTAACCCATTATCACTGGACAGAATTATTGAGTGTTACTCTTGAAAATAATAACACTGTATATACATTTTTTTAAATTAGAACTATTTATAAATTATTGATTGATTAAAAAAAATAAAAATTATTTTTTCAGTAAAAAATCTTGAAAGTAAAATACAATGTTCCTCATAAATTATTACTAGTGTAATTTTTAAAATAAGTAGATCAAAAACTTAAAATAAATTGTTGTGCCTATGTGAAGTATAATTTTAACAAGATTTGTCAATCACAAACATTTGCAAACTATATTGGGTTAGATATTCATAAATTGTTTACTTTTTACAACAGAGATTTAAAAATGTATTTCATGATTCCTCATAAGTTTGTCCACCTTCAAAAAAAAAGTTTACCGGAAAGTCAAATCAATTTTTTAGGAATTACAAATTAAAATTTTTTCTCATGAAACAATTATATTGGCATTTTCCGTAAAACATAAAATTAAAAAAATATTTCAGAAATATTATTATTTCTATAATTACACAAGAAATGTTTAAGTTTTTATCTACAATAATCAATAAAATTGTTTTCGCCTGATCAAAAGACTTGCGAACTACATTGCTGTAATGTATTATGTTATTGATTAGGTATATCTCTTTCAGTGTGGAATATTAGTTAGGCTAATAGGTTTATCTTTTAATTGCAGAAAAAAAATTATAAATGAAGTACTTTCTTGATTCAGGGGCATCTAGACCCCTTTTTAGAGCTGTTGATTTGTACAGTAAATAATGTTTTGTTTGAATAGTAAAGACAGTATAAGTATAGAACTAAATTTCAATATTAACATACTCGTAGATACTAGCATTTTCTAGATATTCCTGTTTTATTGATGCAGGATCAATAGGAGTAGTCCACTCATTTAATAATGTTGATGTATTGGTATTCTGTTTTTTATGATTTCTAAATCAAAAGATAAAAAAAAACGATACAAATTACACATAATTAGGTATATGTGATATTATGTTTTGAAAGCTTCTATACTCACTGGGCAGTATTCTGCTCTATATCCTCTTTTGTTAATCGTGTAAGTTTAACATAAGCGTTGAAATTCAAACTCGGCTGCTCTCCCAAATGTTCATTAGTATGCATCTTTGACATTTTGTAGTATTACTGAAAATTTAAATGAATAGTAGGTAGATACAGTATGATTGGATTTCTCAATTACAATATAGCATAAATGACTGTGTTACAATTAATGCAATTTGTTGTCATTAAATTACTATTTACATAGGTAAATTGACTGATAAGTCAACTAGGGAAAAATAATATTTACGGTAAACATAATGTCCCAATTTTGGGGGCAATAAAAACTACCGAGAAATATTAAAAACTCAGATAAGAAGGTAGATGGTTCAATCAGTATAGGTAATAGATACATATCAAACCCTGGCAATACTGGCTGCAGTGCCCAACACACAATGCTACATCAACTACACAAAATAGTAGACTATGTCACTAAAACACTCGTGACAAAAAATACTGTTCAGGTATCTTTCCTGACGTAGCCCAAGCATTCGATACTGTATGGCATGACAGCTTGCTATTCAAACAAAAAAATATTTTCCTGGCGCCATGCTACTTCTCAAATCTTACCTGAATGACAGAACTTTTAAAGTTGAACTAGAATCGACACTCCAGCCCACAATTAATCTTAGCTGATATTCCACGAGGAAGCGACATCACTCCTTTCTTTTATACACTATTCACAGTAGATATAACACCTTTGACACCACCCTTTTGGGACCTATGACGACAACACCTCAATATTTTTTTTCAGCCACGACTTCCACAAAGCAAACTTCCAACTGCAAAACCACTTGAACAACCTTTTCCATTGGTTTAACTCTTGGAGAATTAAAGTCAATGACTCCAAATCAGCTCATTTCACATTTGCCCTCCGGCCGGAAATCCGCCCCCATAACAATTAACAACACACCTCAGACTAATGAAGTAAAATATCCTGGTCTAGGGTTTGACAAAAGACTCACCTAGGGCCCACACCTTAAAAATAAACACAAGTAAATGAACAGCCGCCTACATATCCTAAAATTGCTATGAAATCAAAAATGAACACCTCTAACTGTCTAATATTTCACAAAAGCTTACATCAACCTATATGGTCCTATGGAATAGCACTCTCCAACATCCGAACGGTCCAAGCTCTCCAAGCAATTTGCCTATGAATGACTGTCAAAGCCCCTTGGAGCATTAAATAAATACCATCGATCACAATGAGCTAAAAATTGATACTATCACACAAACAGTTGTCACATCCTACACTCGCCTCCACTCCAAAACAACCAATCACCCCAATAACCTCATCGCTCGACTGCACTCCAATCATCTTTCAAGAAGAAGTAAATTACTCGAGTTCAAGCGTTTCTAATGAAAAGCGCCCTCAAGTTTCTCTCCGCCCTTTCTATTTGTATGGCTAGACATTTTACTTACTGTGCACAATAGTTTAATAAGTAAGCAACTTATTATAATAAACTGAAAAAAAAATTTATTAGATACACTACATCACATTACATTATATTCGGTATTGTAAAATCGTATAATGTTAAGAGCAATTATATATTGAACAATATAATCGTCATTCTTACTTGTTAATCTTTATGTTTGTCAAGTGGTCGACTATCGGACTACGGTAATTCGTATTTCCGTTACAAAGGTCGACGGGGCAGAACGTGAAAAACGTGAAGCGACGTATATGAAAGAGTACGACTTATGTTCGACTATGGCCCATGGTCGTATGGTCTGAGGTCCATTACAGACAATTAATTCTTTGTGTCGTACTGTTATCTGCTATTAACCGCCAACAGAACAGGTGATACAACGATTCCAAAGATCTTGGAAATATAAAAATACGACTCCCCCCCTCGTTGTTAAGAGGACGCCGCGAATCGTGTTGTCTCCGTCCAACAAAATAATAATAATATTACAATACAATATTATAATATTGTATATTGACATAATATGTATTGTATAGTTGTATACTTGTATAGCAAAAACTGTTTTGCGCAGGGTAGTACCACTCGGGATTGAAGTCCAAGCTAAGCAACCAAATTTCCAAACGCTCATTTACTATGCAACGTAATTTTTATTTTTTCGATGTAACGATTAACAACTCTCTATCAACCCTTGAATCACATTTTCATGTGTTTTGACTGAGTAAAAATGTTTTATCGACATGTCTATAAATAGCTCAAAAAGAGTCAAAATATTTTTGAACTTTTATCTATATGATGCATTTGAAAATGCTTTTAATATTCTGTGAAAATATCATGCACTGATCTACGATCATTTTTTTAGATGAAAAAAAAACAAAAAAACAAATTCGATTTTGTGAAAAAATCTCAGTTTCTACTTAATTTTTTTTTTGAAAACTACTGGGAATTATTAATTCATTAAAATAAAATCAAGGTACACTTTCCCAACAGAAAAGGTTGGTTTAGACTTAAGTTGAAAATCATAGCTTACTGATTACTCATCCTGTACACAGCCATATTTGAATAAAAATAAAAAAGTGGGGAAGTGGATACCACTGTACTGTAGGTAAATTAGCTAATTAACGGAGGTGGTGAGAGGGGGCAATAGCACCCTCTAACAATTTTAGAAGGGCAATTCCCCCCTTGGTATTTTTAAAAATAATAAGAAAAATATTATCGAAAAGGCATTTTTATGAGAAAAAAAGACTTTTATGCACCGAAAAATCATCAAATATGCTTTAAAAAATAAGCACTTTAATAATAATACGCGTCTAATTATTAAAAATATGCCTTAAATAAAATTCTCACCCATAGGTAAAACACTAAAAAAATACATTTGTCTTTAAATATTTTATTTATTTAAAATAATTTTAACTATTTCGGGTATTTTATTCTATTTTCTATGTAGACACCCATATGTAAAAAAAAATAAATAATTATATAATTATATATATATTTATACAGGCAAATACTGATCTGATTCTTCATTCAAATTCAATATAATTCTTGACCTTGTTTCATGAAAAATATTTACTGAGGTGCTTGATTTTTGACAAAACTTTCAAAATATTATCTTATAATCAAAAATATGTCCATTAAATCCAAAAATGTCAAAATATGCAAAAGCATGCACTAAAAACTTTGAGTAGGTATTTGATCACATTGGTACCTAGGTACAAACATAACATCATTTCATCAAGCTTTTTTCATAATGTAATTTAGTTTTACAGGCTACAATAAATAGTTAGTTTAGATAATATTATGTTAGAATTTCCACAGATTAAGTAGGTATAATATCTAGTATTGAATTACACGGTATATCGACATAAAGTAAAGCCCCCCCCCCTTTAAAAATTGCCCTCCAAGTTACGCTCATGGTTCAAAACTTAAAATGTTATTTTAAGCATAGGTTAAATACTTAAATATGTATACAAGTATATTTAATCTATGTTTTAAGTCAAGTAATTTATTTTTCAAAATATTTTTTTGGAATAAATTAATTCAAAACGTATCTAATAAAGTAATATATTTTTTTTAAGTATTAATTTTGGGATTTTTAGGATATAAGTCTTAAATTATTATCAATATGATTTTCATAATTTTTTTCAGTCTAACTATTATCTAGTATAAATTTTATTTTCCGAGCAATGCGATGAATACATTTATTTTATAAATAGGCATCAGGTATGTGTTTTTTTAGACGCTGAAAGAATCGATGAATGCATTGATCTTACAAAATTTTTTATTTTATTTTTAATATTTATACATGATAATTAGTCATAATAATGCATTGGCGTTGAGAAAAACAAAAACAATTAAGAAAAAACGTAGATTTTTACGTAAAAATTCAAAACCATGGTTATTAACTGCAGTTTTCGACAAAATGGATTTAGCTTTTTTGGTGTAGGTATCTAAAAAACTAATAGCAGTAAATACTCAGGTAGGTACTTGAAATTTTTATTAGTTATTAGTATTTTCTACATAGCAATAAATGTCGAGCTTTTTCAATCTTTTTGAGCTGTTTTTGGACATGAGAAATATTTAGAAAGTTTACCTATACTACAACAAAAGAATCTACAAAATATATAAACCCAGTTTTTTTTTGTAGACATTTTAAGCTCAAATTTGGACCAACTTAGAAAATTCTAACTAAGGATAACGATTTTAGATATTATTTGTTGTAATGTAAAAATATTATTCGTAGGTAGGTACTCGAAACTTTTAAAATATATTATTTTCTACACACAATGAATTTGCAAATGCAATTTTATCGTCAAAAATTTATTTAATCTACTGAGGTACTAAATAGTGCTTAATGCCTTACTAAAGTCTAAAATAAATTACTGCCTTTAATCCACTTTAATATTATGTCTGTGCTTTTTATGACAATATTACAATAATATCGCACTATCACTATTGTTCTATGGTATCACAAGAGATAATATCACAGAATATTCTGTTGTATAGACATTTGTGAATTCTTCATTGTTAAATCACTAATCATTAATCAGTAATATTCGCTGATCCACTGAACAGTAGCTGAAATAGCTCCGAGTTGTAGTTTAAATAAATACCAAAGTATTTAGTCTAAGTGTAACAACATTTTGCAAATTCTTAACACACTGTGTTCATACTTATATAAAAAAAAAATTATTTTACATTAACTTACTAGTATTGCTTTTATTATTTTTTAACAATGCCTATGGTCTGTATGGATAACTTGAACTTGGGAAATTGTTTGTGGTTTGAAGGAGGAAGTGAAAAAAGAAATGTTGTTTCTGGGATGATATCAGGACTTCTGGTTGGTGAAATGTATATTATTTAGATACAAAATGATTGCTAATTATCGTTTAACAGTTTGCAGTCGGATGGTGGCTAATAATTGATGGTATGGCAGTAAACCCTAGTCAAGTTCCTGGTACCTATCATATTTGTGGATTGGTTGGAACATTTTCATTGTTTATGTAAGTGTACATTTATACAATTATTTTATAATTTTTTTTTTTTAACTGTAAAACTTAAGATTCTAACATACAAATTTTTATTTAAGTAAAAAAAAAAAATGGCCTTATTTAAAATTAATATTATCATATAGTTTCATACACTATCCAAAAGTCTAAAAAATATATAATGGTCCCTAAGTTGATAGGTATCAAGATGAAACTATAAAATGTTTATGGATCATTTAAATTTTAAAAAAATGTAACAAGACAGTAGGTACCTATGGTTAATAATATTTTGCAGCTCTCAAATGTTTATTTTTTTTTTTTAAGGAATTTAACCATTAGATAGAATTATTATTTTTTATTTGTTTATTTATAAAGACATTTACAATTTATTGACTATAAAAATTGATATATTTTGTGTATGGTTAATAAGTTTCACATGAATAATCCGTGAAGGATGTAATTCACAAACAGCGCCTCAGAATAATACAATGTCACAATATGAAAAATATATGTTGCATGAATCATTTTTTTTTGAAATTAGAAAACTCAAATTAGACTAAATTATGTATGGTATATATTTTCTATACCAAACACCTTAATTCAAATTTTTTTTTTCATCATTGACTTTTTGACACAAAAACAAAAATTGGCTCAGATAATTAGTTCCAAAATTATAGGTTACAGTATTTCTATACTTACCAAACCATAGGTTAGATCACCTGTTTGGTTACCCGTTATGTTAGCTTAGATCTACATAACTCTCTACCCCTAGGTTGACAATAGATTGTAGATGCTTATGTTTATATAATAGCTATAATACTTTTTTATATTGATGAATAATTATACTATTCAGTGTAATAAAATAATTGTAGTATAGTTTAAAATACATTTTTTTTATGTTATAATGTTCAAAACTTAGACTCCAATGATAATAAGTCTTTGGTTTTTTTTTTGATATTAATTATTTTGTGCAAAATTGTAATCATGTTTTTTAGGATCAACGTTGTATCTAATTCTCAAATTCGAGGAGAAGCTTACTCGGGAGGATGGTTTGGACCCAGAGGAGCACGTAGTTGGTTATTTATGGGTTTTGTATTGGGTTTTGCTGCTTTGATTGCTGCTTGTTGGATATTTTTTGCGGATTTTGTAGCAGCTAAAAGTAAGACTACAATTACTAGAAATATTTGTTATTATTTTGGTACACATTTTAAACATCAATTTTGATTTATAGGTTCAATTAAACCAAATATGACAGTTGGACTTGAACTGTTTTTTCAAAATGTTTTTATATTTGCTGCTTCTCTGATTTACAAATTTGGTCGTGTAGAAGATCAATGGTAAAGAAAAAATAATACTAAAATGATCAATGTGGTACTACATTAAAAAATATTTGTATTCAATTTCTACAAAAATTAAATCGTGTGTAATAACTAATAAGCATTTAAGACTATATTATTGTAAATATTTTTTTTAATACAATTTTAGTTATTTAAAAAAAAATACTATTTAGTAGATTTAGTTTTCAGATTTTAATCTCTATTATAAAAAAAAGTTGAAATATTTGCTTATTTTATTGAAATATTTTATATGAGGTCAATCTTTTAAATATATTATTGAATTATCTACTTAAAAAAAACTGAAATCTTTATTTTTCAACAAAGTAATAAGTATTAAATTACACTTTTACTCTTCAAGGAGAACCATCACTTTTTATGCATCGGGAATGATGAGATTGGCGGGTGGTGAAGAACCATGTGATCGCCCTAACTCTGGGTAGTTTGTTGTAGATGCACAGTACTGACTTAAATCGGTCAGCTGATTTATTATTCTCTTTTTTGACAGAGTATAGCTACATTATTTTTTACCAAACTTGTCATTGAGATTACATTCTATATGAATATATGGAATCGTTGATGAGTGATGGATGACTCATCAGTCATCAATAATAATTTTAAAAATGATTTTGGTATTATTCTTAATCCTTTAAGTTTATTAGAACTTTTTTAAATTTATTTGTAAGTACTTCACTAAAATTCAAAAACATGAAAATAAATAATGTAAAATATTTATATTTTAAAAGCGAACAACATGTAATAATTTGGTAAATTGTTGACCTACAAAATATCCAAAAATATTTCTGTCGAGAATATTACGTCCGAAAATAGATGTTGGAAAATAATGTCCTTGAAACAAAGTTTATCCAAAAATGTACCTAGGTTTTGGATTAAATATTTTCGCTAGGATAATTTTTGAATGTAATATTTTCTATCGTTTTACTTTTGCTATACATATTTTCCAGATTAAATATGCTTTAGACAAAATTTTGTTCTTATAATATATTATTCGATAGAAAGATTTTTCTGCTAAAATACAGTTTGGATGAAATATTTTCTGATATTGTACACACTCCCCATGCTATTAAACCTAACAATAGTAAAATCAATGGTTTGTTAAAAATCGGTTGTTTTTGATGACCTAAAATTATATTTATGGTTTAATTATATGGTCTCTATACTATCAGGTGATAAATCAAAAAAAAGAAACTATTCAGCAAAAATTACCCTTATTCCTTTAATTTGAATGTTTCACATTCCTGTAGGCTATAAAAGCTGTATTATTTTATAATACATTATCAACATATTATAGTATTATAGTATTAGTGTTTACTGTATTATTAGCAACATTTTAACTTAAAATAAATAACATATTAATTCATTAGTTATATATTTATATGGCTATCTACAGTAAAACATGGTTATAAACAGTTTTATTCATAAGTTAATTAAAATTACAAGATACTATTGTAAAAATAATTAAATTAAATAACAAAATAATTGATCTTATATATGTATATGGATACCGTTGAATAAACAACACACGGATACACTATATCATAAACCTGTCTATGCATTATGCATAATTCCTAAAGATTTTAAAACAAATTTGCATAATTTACGCACTTTGGAAAAATTTGTTAATACTAATTAATAGTTTTTATCAACCAATCAGAAATCACCAAATGTATATTTGTTTACATTTAGACTAAATGAGACATGTCACATGTGCAGCTACATTAATTTTCAATAAAAAAAAAGTGTTAACATGTTTTGTTTGAATTTACAAATAAACAGTTGTAACTTGTAAGTATTAAACAATATAAAATTATATTTTTTGGCATAAAAGTTATTATTTTTCTTCACATAAAATATTTCTTCTATTTTCATTGAATTAGATAATTGGCAAATTGTGTGTCTAGGTAAGTGAAGAATATTATTTTTATTACTGTTGGTTAATTTTAAATCTATTTATCAAAATGAATATCTTGTTTTGGACATCAATCACAACACAAATCATAATAATGGAGTTGTGTTTACAAATTATCGATGTATACAGTTTAACTGTAATGAGTGTAGACCTTGGTTCGGAATGGATGAAAGTAGCAATAGTTTCAGTAAGTATTAATACGAGAATGGCCCATACATAAAACAAATATTTCTATTTTTACCAATATATTATATTTTTATATGTTCTAAATTTGCTTAGCCTGACATTCCAGAAGAAATAGCTCTTAACAAAGAATCTAAAAGGAAAACTCCTAGTGCTATAGCTTTTCGCGATGGTGAACGTATGTTTGGGAAAGATGCACTAGCTGTGGGAGTTCGATTTCCACCCAACTGTTACATTTATTTTCTAGACTTATTAGGAAAGAAAATAGACAATCCGATTGTTGATGTCTATAAAACACGGTTCCCTTATTATAACATTATTCCTGATCCAAAAAGAAATACAGTGATTTTCAAGCATAACGACTCGTATGTTTAAATGATATAAGTTCTTAAGTACCTAATGAATAATGATAAATATTATGTCTCAATGACTCAATACCTATTGTTATATTTAATGTACAACAAAATTGTAGTGATGAACAATTTTCACCTGAAGAATTAGTGGCAATGATGTTGGAAAAAGCAAGAGAATTCGCACAAGATAATTCTGGACAAGTTATAAATGAAGCAGTAATTTCTGTCCCTGGTTATTTTGGTCAAGCCGAACGATCTGCAATGTTGAGAGCAGCAGAAATTGTTGGAATTAAAGTATTGCAGCTTGTCAACAGTTATACTGCAAGTAAGTCCATATGTGTATAAAAAATACCTAATCTATCAATACCTTATACCTACACAACTAATAGGTTTCAAAACTACTAATTATTTTAAAGCATTTAATTACATACTGCAGTTTCAGTGATATAATGTATAAACTTAAGTTATTAAATTGTATATGCTATGATGTTTCTATTGTGTTTAAATAATACAAATTAATTTTTTTTTAGCTGCTTTGAATTATGGTATATCCCATATAAAAAGTTTTAATGAAATATCCCCAATGTATATGATGTTTTACGATATGGGTGCATATGGTACTCAAGTATCAGTTGTATCCTATCAATTAGTAAAATCTAATGAACTTCAACCACAACTTACTGTACTGGGAGTAGGGTTTGTACCTTCAAATCTTAACAATGTTAAAGAACAATTATTCTAATATTTAAATATTTAATTTACCAGATACGACCGAAACTTGGGTGGCTTGGAAATACAACTGCGGCTAAGAGATTACTTAGCAACTAAATTTAACGATCTAAAATTAACACCCAACGATGTTACTAAAAACCCTCAATCCATGGCAAAACTATTCAAAGAAGCTGGACGATTAAAGGTTGTATTAAGTGCAAATACTGAACATTTTGCCCGAGTAATTCAACATTATTTTAATTATTATGATATGATCTTTGTAATATAAATAAATATTAATACTTAAAACATGAAATTTTAGATAGAAAGTTTAATTGACCAAAAAGATATGGACATTAAAGTTACCCGAGAAGAACTAGAACGGTTGTGCAAAGATTTATTTGATAAAGTTACACGTCCAGCTCTAAAAGCTTTAGTTGCGTCAGGACTGACTATTGAACTTATTAAACAGGTAAATTGAATTAAATTTTGTTTTTAGTTATGAACCACAATAATATAATTATTAGATAATATTTTAGGTGATGTTAGTTGGTGCCGGTACTAGAGTTCCTCGAATTCAAGATATTTTAATTAAAGATTTAAAAAATGGTCATTTGCTTGGTCGGTCATTGAATACTGATGAAGCTGCCGCTTTAGGAGCTGCATATAAAGCAGCAGAACTTAAAAATGGATTCAAAATTAACACATTTATTACTAAAGATGCCACGATGTTCCCTATTGAGGTTAATTTATTCATATTATATGATTCATCATGTTCCACACTTTAAGAATTTTAATATTTATTTATCAATATGTTCTATATAGTTGATATTTAATAGAGAAAACAAATTTGAAAGTGAACCCATTAAACAAGTAAGGCGTATTTTATTTAGTTACATGAAGCCTTACCCACTACGCAAAATAGTAACATTTATTAATCATAAATTAGATTTTGATTTTACTGTGGGTTATGCGGAACTTAATCATTTAGATGAAAATGCAATAAGATGTTTAGGTTCATTGTCACTTGATCACATACAATTAAAAGGAGTACAAGATTCCTATTCTAAGTATCAAGACCAAGAAAGTATAAATGCCAATAAAATAAACTTACATTTTATTATGGATGCTAGTGGTATATTAATATTAGAAAATGTCGAGTTTTCAATTGGAAAATCTGTTACTAATGATCAAATAGAAGAATCAATTTTATTGAAAATTTTTAATTTCATAAGAAATTTATTTAAAGGTTAAAATTTAAAATTATAATAGTTTGAATAAGAAAAGTTGTATGAATCCATTTGAATTATTTTTAATTTAGTTGGTGACAAATTCATTGAAAATAAAATACTTGTCCAAAATAACCTAGACGATTCTAGTGGTTCTACACTTCCTGCTGTTAGACAAACTATTGAAGTTGAACATGAATATTTATTTGTGCTTCCTATAGGTGATGATGATTTGCAAAATGTAATTACAAAGTAAGGTATTTATTTAGAAACTAATATTTTTAATAGTCTAATTGTGCATATTATTTAGATTAAAGAAGCTTAGGGCAAAGGATTTGTCTCAATTACGTAAAGAAAAGGCGTTACATAATTTACTTACACTTATTGTTGAAGTACGTGAAAAATTAAATCAGCCAGAGTATACTAATTCTGCTACTGATGCAGAAACAAGATCTATTTTGGAAAAATTGTCTGAGGTATCTATACTTTTGTCTCTTCGGTTAACTGTAAATACTTTAAAATAAAGTTTAGGTATAATAGTTAGTATCTTTAGATCAATATAATAAAATGTAGACAATATTTATGTTACATCTGGTGTTCCTTAGGATGATAATTTATAACCCCTTCTATTATTTCTGCTTTTTATTAATGATATTTCTAGTAAATTCTCCAATTTTTTATTACTAGCTGATGAATTAAGTTGTTTAAGCTGATTCAATGTCATAATGTCAATCCTCTTCCTATATAAATCTTGATTTTACTAATTGAATATTTCTAAAATCTTTAGTATAACGTTCTTATCTCCTTTTGTATAGTTTGATGTCTAATGACAGCTAATCGCTAATACCAAAAATAATTTTGATTTTTTTCGTTCACTCTTAAACTAACAAAAGACATTTTGAATTTTGATGTTACTTGTTTATTTATTTGTGATAGGTCACAACATTTTTTTCTGTATTCAATTACCTACCTATTACCCCTGATTTTATTTTATTTTATTATTTTATTTCATGAAAATTGAAATTTATTTTTTATTAGTAGTATAGATTATTAGTTTTAGTATGATATAAGCTTCCCACTCGGCAAAAAAATAAGCCAATTAAATCCAGTCATTCTCAATTGATGCGGTTACCAACAGATAGTTTTTTTTATTTTATAGATACATCTATTATAGGTACTTATTATTACTAGTATATCACACTGACCACGCTGTATCTATTCTATATTTTTTCTATGATAGTATTCACTATTCAGCATATTATAATCACAGTGGCACTTGCTTGAACCGGTGTCAATGACAAGGTGTGGCATGGTAATGCACAAAATTGGTATGTTCCCTCACTGAACTGAGTGTCTGAGTATAGCCAGTAATTCAAATACAGCCATATAGGTGGTCTACCAAACATCATCACTCCAATTTTTTTCTCTTTTAATGAATGAATGAATGAATTATATTTATTTATTGATTCAATTAATTTATTGATAAAATCCCAATTATAATTAATTGATATTAATTTGTTAGAGCACACAATGCATTGCATTATAAGAAATAATTTATTCTATTAAAAAAATATGAAATATAACATAAATGCTGAACATACATTAAAAAAAAACATAAAAACATACATTCTCATTCATCTGTTAATGCATTAATTTAATTTTAGTAAAAATAGCCTAACTGATTGAATGCTATAAAAAATAGAGCATCTTGGGACTAAATGGTATCTACTACAAAGTTCAGTGTGTTCATTGTTGCCCAAAGCATGTATGCTCATAACCCATTTAAATTCTTAGTACATTAATCCACCGCCTGTTTTTTTTAGGAAATCAGTCATTAATTATAATCATTATTCATGTATAATATATATGTACAATATATGCCTATATAGAGGATACAGCTAATAAAATATAAAATATAGATACATTTATCATAAAGTAATATGTATGTGTTTAGTACTGTATATTGTTATAAATAAGTAAAACTTCCTGTTATAAGATTTCGATCTGGTTGGGATATGATGGTCTCAATGCTGAAGCAGAAGAATTAGAGTATACATATAATAATTTAAGAAAAATATTAAAGCCTGTTTGGGACAGAGCATTTGAGCACATAGAAAGAAAAACGAGATTAGAAATACTAAGTAACACATTAAAAAAGAGCAAATCATTTTTGAAAAAAATAAAAAACAAAACCTTAGTAGATACTCCATTCACAAAAACAGAAATAGAAAAACTGGAAGAATTGATTTTAGAAATAACGGTGAGTGAATTAAAATTTACCTATTAATTGAAAATAATAAAAATAACAATTTTTAAGATAAATAAATAAAATATTTCTTATACTATTTTTAGACTTGGAGAGATAAGCAAGTAGAAGAACAGGAAAGACTTCCAAAATATGTTGATCCTGTGTTGTCAATATTAACAATTGAAACAAAACATTCAAATATTAGACAGAAGGTATATTGTGTAAAATATAGATATAAATTGTAGTAATTTGTCTTGGATACTAAAATTTTTAATTATATTTTAATTTTTAATGTCTTAACAGATGAAATATTTAATGACAAAATTCATTAACTGGAAACTAAAAAATAAAAAGCAATTTTATGTTAAAGGTAACCGTTTATACTTTTTAGTAGGATTTCCATAGTTAATAATAATGATAATATTATTTTAGTGTGAACTTTTATTTTTCCTTACTAACTATGATTCATAAATTATTATTTACCTACCTATTGTGGTAAAAAATGTATAACCTAATTATTAAATTATATAATAACACAAATTAAATTTCATATTGTTTAATTTAAGAAATTTAACACAATACACAGTATGTAGGTATTCGCTTGTACCAGTTGTACCTATGTGTAGAAATCTAATTATTATGTATTTTGGAATCTACATTCATGATAGAAACAAAGTTTCAAGAAAAAACTTTTAAAATTTAACCAGATTTTATTTCTTATTAAATCCTAAGTTGGAGTTATGTTTTTATTATGAATTATGATTATTATTTTTTTTTACAGATGACCTCCAATACGCTGACATCCGCAAAGAATTATAGTTCATTTAATATGTAAATGGTGCATATTAAATATTTATAAAAATGTGTAATTATATTTATAATTATTTTTATATTAATTTATAGCATAAAGTAATAAACATAACATTATTATTGTAAGTGAGTTTTTAGATTATCTTTTAATACTAATTACCTACTCTCCATCAGTAACTAGTCATTTGTTTATGATACTGGTTTAACATTAAAGGGCACCGTTACTAGGTAAAATCATAATGATTTTGTTTTAATCCATACTGATTTTCCTATTTAACCTATTTTAAATTACTTGTATATTTCACATTTATCTTTTAAAACTCAATATAATGAAAAAAGTGTAGGTAATCAAAATTAAGATTTTATTTGGTATAAACTCTACAATTCATCAAACAATAATATTCACAAAATAATAAATGAATAAATATGTATTACATAATTACATAGGCCAAGTATATTAATCTTATTTATACAGACATAAATTGATTTTTATTATACCTAACAAAAACTTGTAATAAGTAATAACATAACTATAATTTTAAAATTGACTTATGACTTTTTAATAATTTCATTAGTTCTAACAGTTAAATTTTTAGGTTTATCTAGTAATGGAGCTAAAAGGCGAGCAGCCTGCAAATCAAATTGTGTGTCAATTTCTAAACTTCTATTTATTGGTATGACAACTACTCCCAACCTAAAAATTAAATTTATCAAAAATAAATAAGTAAACAAAACAGAAAAATTTCAAATCTGAAATACTTACTTTCCTCCTTGGAGCTTATTATTTACAATTAGGTTCTTGTATGTAAAATAAAACATGCCATTTTCTACATACTCTCCATCCCAGTCTTGTCTTCTTGGTCTTTTGGTAACATCAAAATTTGATGGTTGCAGTTGACCATCTTATGTACAATTGATCACAAATTTATCAATTTAACATTAAAATTATTTATGAAAAATGAACAATAATACAATACCAGAATCCAGTTTCCAACGTAGTTTATGGCTTCGTGTTACGGAAAACACAGATTCAAATTTCTGATTAACTGCCATTTTATATGCCCTAGTCAAATACTCAGCGGTCATAAAAGGCGAGGTACACTGAATGATAGCAAAAATATCAACTTTTTGATGATACATGCTAAACTCTTTAACAGCACTAAGTGATGTTGCTTCATCCGAAGCAGTTTCTGCACTACGGTGAAAAACTTTAGCACCTGCTAATTCAGCTTCAGCAGCAATTTCTTTATCATCTGTTGATACCCATACATCGTGGAATACTAAAATTAAAGAATAAATTATGATACAGAAGTTAGCTTTCAGGAGAAACATGATGGATGTTTTTAAATTTTAAAGTAATTTTAAATCTAGTTATATTAAAAAAAAACCATTCTGATCAAAGCTCAAAGGTAAGTTTACTCTAAAATAGAAGCCAGTAGGTAATACATTTGTTGAAAATAGGTATATCTACCATACCTTAATACACAGTTATTCTAAAACAGTATAAGGAAATCAAAAATTACTATTTTTAATGAACAGTTTACATATCATTTCCAACCAATAAGGTACTTAGAAGTTATTTTATTTCCTTTTTATTTTATGGATAATGAAACCATATAATGGTAGCAGATAAAATAATTTTTAGTTCCACTTAACAAAAAAATCAATAATCTTATTTATCATACATCCACAATCATTAATAGTATCTAAAGATCTTCGGAGGAGTGTAGTGTTTTGTATAACAGCTAAATTTTTTCTCGGTATTCCTTTACTACCACCTCGAGCTAATATTAAAGCTACCACATGAGGCCTGCAACATAAAATATGTAAACAAAATTGGTTTAAAATTTAAATTTCTGCCATTAGAAAACATTTGTTTGTATACATGTACTCACTTATAGTTAGATAAATGATTTTGTTCATATGTAATGTGACTCCAGAGTAGATAAATTGGAATCATAAACAAAACAACACTTGCAGATAAAACAAATAACTGAGAAAAAAGTGCCACCCAGTGGCTGTTTCTAACCGTCATTATTTCCAAAAACAATAATAATTTTACTATATTCTATTAATAAAATAAGCAATTTATGAAATAAATGTTCATAATTTTTTATTTCATAATAAGCACTCTGCCCAACTGATAGAGTGCACTGTGCATCTGTGCTGAACTGAATGCAGTAGTTTTTTTTATCTCCCCATTGCAGCAAGTGGATGGTATTGACCCAGAATAGGAACATCAGGGTTGCTATGGAAACAACAGGGTGAGCAATATAGCAGAAAAAAACAAACTTTTTTTTTAAAAAGGTTACAAATTGTATTATAATAAATTGGTGTTTACAAAGTATATGGGTTATATAAAATTTGTTTTTAAATACAAAACATGTTTTAAAAACTATTAATATTAAACCTATAGTACAAACCATCACCTTTAACATTTCTAACCAAAAATGTTTAGTTAATAAGTTATATTTATTTAATTAATTCTAGTTTAAGGGCCAGAAAGATTTATCAAAGATGTACAACAATTAAGTGGATGTTTGAAGCAATTACAAAGTAATCAATAAATATAAAAATAAACACATAAAAGACAATTTAAACATTAAAAAAATCATGTAAAAATATATATAGTTACTATATTATTATGTATAATGTATAAAAGTTAATAATAAATGGTATTTTAACCAAAAACGGCATGTGGAATCTATTATATAAAAAATTAAATACACATACAAACTGATCTATGACATAAAATATTAGTTTAGTAAGTAAAAAATTATAATAAATAATTGACTAAAGTATATACAAACAAAATTTGTAATTAGAAAAAAAATAATAGAATCAGAAAACTCCACAATATTGTAAGAGATCTTATCTTTATATAACATTTTTACAACATATCATAAAGAAAAAAAATTCACAATCAAATTAAATTAGAAACACTGCAAATTTATGGACCAAAACAACAATTTTAACAATGAATTATTTTAAAAATAATCAAAATTTTTAATACGTACATGAAAGGAATGTTTCTGAAGTAAATTTTCATTTTACATGACACAATTGTAAAATATAAATACAATATAAAATTCAATATTTCATTACCTTATAAAAATATTAAATTAATAATAATACATAAAAAAATAAATAAATTTTATTTGAAAATAGTTATACATTTTTATTATGAATTTATTAAATATAATATTACTTTGACAAATACAAATTTTATGTACAACCATTCTCAATAATGATAATCTCATAAATATACTTCAGTTTAAAGGAGCTTAAAAATATATTGAATTTAGTGCATATTATGACAAAATAGAATTTAATTTAAACAACACAACAAATAGTTAATTATTTTTATCAAAATTAAAAATTTCAAAAAATTTGTCACAAAATAGTATTTTTATCAATTTTAAAATAGTGTTTGGTTTATTATCTTTATTGCTTAACTAAGGCACCATTAATAAATTTGTGTTAGGAATGTTGAAGTGCCATTTTTATATTATTTAGTTTAATTTTTAAATTAGTAAGAGTAAAAAAATATAAAAGATGTGATAGCTATGTCAGAATATTACCTGAATAACAGGTACAACATAAATGTTGAGTCATATTAATCAATTTTTTCTTTGTTAGTAGTAAATAACTATAATAAATATTAAGACTTCAACTTTAAACTTATCAAAATATATGGCGTGAATTATATAAACATTGAGTTAATGTTGTGTCAATTGCACGCGTCATTAGTTATCACATTATGCAGCTGTTTCTACTTCTAGGTCTTCCATAAGAGCTAGAGGAGCCCTATGTATCTAAAAAAAAAAAAAATAATTATTTACACATCAAAACATAATACTAATATAATACATATTATGTAAGCAAAAATAAGAAAAGAAAAGCCTCTACATAGGTTGAAATAAAAGTTAATTTACATTGATATATTTTATGAAAATAAAATAACTGTATTAGTTGTTCAGCATATTTGCATAAGATAACTGTAAGTTCATATGAAATTTATAATAAATATTAATACATGGTATTTAATTTAATTTAAATATGTTCAAGGTATCCCATATTAATTTTATATGGTAAAACAAAAGAATCTTAAACGCTTTGTAAAACCTTATGGAACCCTATTAATTAAGTTATATAACGTATTGAACAGTAATAATATAATTTCACACACTTTACAATTTGCCCCTTGCATAAAGACAATCTATTAATAAATTATATACATAAATATTATTATTATAATAAAAATATATTCTATATTTTAATATTATATCATATAATTTTTGTTTGTACATTTTTAGTCTCCCTCGCACCAATTAAAATTAGAGAAATAATTAAAATCTGTAAATACAATTATATTATTTTATATTTAGCAAAAATATGTATTATAATTAACTTTCAATTTATGTTAACCAAATAATAACATTTTTTACATTTATTAACATTAAAATAAATACATATTTTTGACGGCAAATAACAACCATAATCCATATTCCTTGTCAAATAAAATTAATGAACTGTTATATGATCACCCACACCAATTATCTACCTGTTTATCGTTTTAAATATATATTACGTTGATTACAGTTAATAGTATTTTGATACTACTTGTAAGCTGGACTAAGTATGTAGCAGAAATTAGCAAAGAGCAATTTGGATGTGCGTATAAATGCACAGACAATTTAAGAAGAAGTTTGTCTAATCTGCTTTCACAAAAGTGAAAATTGGAAGTGTGAATAAACATATTAGCCATCACATAGCCATATATCTTTTAGGACTAGCTAACCTCAAAGTTGGACTGTGTTGATGGATCATCTTCTACAACTAAACTTGTGGATATATCTGACAAATGAAAAAAACTATTTAGGTGCAAATACTCAACTACATAACAATTTAAATAAAAATACACAACAAAAACTAAAAGCTATATCAATATATAATTTATATTTTAATTTAATGCTTATTGATACTATGCAATTAAAACATAAATATGAAATCACAGAAATGTACTTACTGTCAACCGTGATGGTTTCATTAGTAATAACTGTAGTAGAATTTGATGTTTTCACAGTGGTTGTAGTAGTGGACAATTCATGTTTAGTGACTGTTTTCTGATGATTATTACTATCAACATTATTTGATGTTGATGTTACATTTAGATTAGTATTTGAACTAAAAAGACAAACAAATCATATTTTCAACTAACATACATGATAGACTTTAATATATTTTAATATTTCCTTACTTTCCCAAGTGGTCTTTAATGGAATCTATGGTAATATCACCGACTGAGAGATCATTGCTATTGTTTAGTTGTGAATTACTATCACCATTTTCTTGAGAACCATTTGTTAATCCTACAATATAAAAATAATTTTATATATTGATATAAGTTACTACTAATGTATTGTTGTTTTAGTACATACCATTTACTTTTGGAAAATCATCTTGTTCATCATCTGTGTAACCATTAATAGGGGTAATGGATCGACTATTTGATGGTCGATCTCTAATAGGTAAATTCAAAGAACAATCAACTTGCGTGACACTGGTTGCAGACACAGAAATTCGTTGCAGTTCACTACTTGAATGTAAATATAAAGCTTCACCATAACGTGTAAACGCCAAGCTTGAAATACCACTATAAATCAAATATGTGATTATTAATTTGAATACACACTAATATAATTGTTGAATAATATACTTGATATCTTCTCTACGAATAACTGCAGCATGTATTTGCCTTCGAAGGTCTGGTACACTAAGTACTATTACTTCACCTAAATTAGTTAGACAGAGGAGACAGCTTTCTGCATAATCACTAGTTTTAAAAAAGGCCATTGACATTCGGCGAACTCGAGCACCTTCAGCTGCAGTTAATTTAAGTTTGCATACAGGTTTTAAATTAGGCAAGGAAAATATCTAAAACAATAAATTTAACTTTATTAAATTGTCGCATGTATTATATATATATATGAGTTAGACAAATACATTACCTTAAATTGTTCTTCCGATGCAATAATGACCTTGTGGGGACCACATATATCTAAAGGTTTACCCGGAGTGCTAATTTCTTGAACTTCAGTGACTGAGCGATTTTCTGCATCAATCACAGTAATTCCAATAACAGGTGCACGGTGTTTTAACTGAACTTCTTTTCCTAGTTGTGCAGTGACTCTTCTTTCTTTTCGTTTATCATTTGGTGGTATACTTATAGTGAAAATGTACACAGAACCATTGTTGGTACCAGCCCACATTGTCGGAGTAATATGTGAAGCTAAGAAATTAAATAACATGCATGTTGTCATATTAGTCCATTAAAAATTTAACTTATTATTTATATAAATTACCAGTAACAATAAATGTTTTCGTAAAACTCAAACAACGGACCATACTTCCCAATGCATCATCAACTGGCCTGGCTTCAATTGCTCGTTCAACAGGTCGTGCTTCCATTGGAGATATTGGTCCAGTACTAAATTCAATTTTTTTTAAAACAGAATAAAATTGTAAAATTTATAATAAATGTGTCATGTAACACAATATTACAAATACAGACTTTTCTCGTTTTTTGTCAGGTGTAATGCTTGCTCCTTTTTTATCATTTACTATTCTGGTAGAATTTCTTCCTTTTCGTAGTCTTCTAAATGATTCCCGTAAAGACTTTTTAAATGATTTTCTCCTAGAAATAGGAGTATCTCCAGCAGTGGACAAATCTAAATATAAATGCATAAAACAAAAACAAAAGTTATAATATATTATTACACTTATAAAGTAAATATGTACTTTGAACTTATATAGTACATAATCGTTATTACCATTAGGATTTAAAGTGCATTTTGTCAAAACGGGAGCTTGTCGATAGTAATCATAAAGTACTAAGCCATGGGCAGTACCAGCAGCAACCAAAGACCAATTTGAATGTAAAGCAACAGCTGTAATTGATGCAGGAGGATATACTTGTAAAACAGATGTAGGTTGAAATCCAGCTTTAAATGTAAGACAAGTCATATTTTTTCCATTATTATTATTAGCTTCATCTCCAGTCTGTTTTAAACTTAAACGTTCATGACCTTTCCATACAAAACTTTCTCCAACGACATTCATTTGTACAGCCTGAATAACATTTAACAAAATGTGTAATTTATTTTCATGCAAATAAAATTCTAACATTTTGCAATATTAACCTTTATTTCATTAGAAGATGACTGATCATTAAATTTGGAAATTATAACATGGCCAGCTGTACCAGCGACAATCATTGTACCAGTTCGAGGACAAAGAATAACTTTTTTAATTGCTAATCGAGGATCATCAGAATAAGGATCAAAATTTCCAACTTTCCTAAATGGTGGCCATTCTTCTTCATCTTCTTCTGGAGCTACACTATTACTAGAATGGTTATCAGCATCATCACCAACTAACACCCATGATGATTTGAATACATGTATGGGGAGTAATGGAGTTGCATTTGCAACCCACAATTTTACAGAACCATCTTCATGGCCAGTTATTAAAAGATCTCTACTTTGCTCCTCTTCAATATTCGCTTCACCGCCATCAACTGGCCATTCCTAACAATATTCATTTTAAACGTTATTCAAATACATTTTATTTAAGTATAAAAAAGGGAATTTAATTTAAAATATTAACTAAAACTGTTTCAAATTAATTTAAACTTACATTTGAAGAAAAGTTATTTTCATTTTGTAAATTTCCAATGGCAATGATATTACTCCAAAGATCTTCGTTTAAATCAGAAACAAAAGTAGTAAACGTTATAGCACTTGCATGAATGGAAACAAGATAAGGTAATTGAACTAACGGCCAATCTTCAGTAGATAAATCAATACAGACTATTTCTTCTTCTGCCAAAATTATAAGGAAGCTACAGCCTAGAATAAATTTAAACATTAAATTAATAAAAACAAATTTAACTGATTTTATTATAATATTCTTGTAGTACCTTTTTCATCAACTGAAGCAGTAGTTGTGAAAAAATCAATAACTTTTGAAGTAAGCTCAAAAGCTACATGTTTTGTAGTTCCCAATCGAACAGTAACTGCATGGCGATCACCATAGCATGCCCGTGGCATACCACCAGAAAAAATAAGAAATTGTTCGCTAATAAAAAATAAATCATGAATATTGAATTAAAATATTTTTTAATTAATTTATATACTTGAGGTCTTGAGCAGATTGTTGGCAAACTACTTTAGAGATTGGTTTGCACGGAAATGGGCCATAAATTGTTTTAGTGTTTTCATTTTCATCAGATGATTCATTTATTTTCCAAAGTGTTACAGACCCATCATTATGAGAGGAATAAAAGCTTTCCCCTTTTTCTTCCCAACATACACTTTCTACTTGTTGACTACTTACAAATGTCTATAAAAAAAAGAAATGGAACAAACATTTAAGATAAATAAAATATATTATATTGTATAATGTTGATATAAAATTACAAAATCATAATTTAGTTTTTGTGATACACATACATTGATACATATTAATGTAATAAAATGAAGTTTATTCTCTTACTTTTACAGCAACTGCATTTAAGCGATCCCATAAAACAATTAGTCCCCGACTATAGGCAATCAAAATATGATTTTGATTTCCTGGTTGTTCTGCTATAACTTCAACTGCACCAGGATTCTTTTTATACTCATCTGAAACCCTAAACACAATTTAAAATAAAGTTAAAAATGCTATTTTAAATATGCTATTAATACTTTATAGTTAATACATACTTCTGCATCACAACATCTTGATAAATAATGTTATCTGACAATTCAAATGTTGACAAATCAATAAAAAATATATTTCCTCCTTCAGTTCCAAGTAGTAAGTTTTCACAACTAGATTCCAAGCACATGGACGATATTTGTTTAAGCCTACAAATCATTTCATATTTAAATTATCAATTGACTTAATTTACAAATTAAAAACAATTTCAACACCCACTTTCCCTCTAATAAGTATGATTGAACTTCATCAATGGCCATGTCGTTTATTTCCCAGTAATGAAGACTATTATCATCAGACAATGACACCAAACGACCCTGAATAAATTGTTTTTATCATATTCATTAGCAAAAATTGTACTTTTGTTTTATGATCTCAATATTAAAATATGTATAGTATAATTACTTGATTTGGTACAAATATTAACTTTGTGATTGCATGATCGGAACACGGCAAATGACCATAGAATTCAACACCAGTCTTACCCAACCTATGTAAATTTTGTTAAGAAAAATATTTTTACAGTTTATTTTTGAAAGGATTATTTTTTATATACAATATATAAAGGTACAATGATACCTGTATTTAAAAAAAAAAACTGTAGTAGAAAGTCAAATTTATTTGTTGGTTATAATATAATGAACATACCAAAAAAAAAAAAATTGTGTGTGCATTTTGGTGCTCTAAGATAAAACCAAATGACAAGGTCTCAGAATCAATTAAGACATTTAAATAAAAGGATACACTTTAATTGATCCAGTTGAAGTTCCAATTGCCATAATACGTAATAATGGATCCCACGAAAGTGCTGTTGGTTTATTTGGAAACCCATACTGTAGAGTCTGAAATATCAATTATATTTAGTTAATGTTAATTTAAAATAACAAAGTTTCATGATGACTTGATGCATATTGATATATATACAGTGTGTCCCGTTTTAAATGTACCACTAAATATCTCAGCCCGATAATCTTAGATTGAAATACGGTTTGCTACAATAGCTAAGGGGTACTGAAGTACACATTTAAGGACAAATTTCAAATTTTTAACTCTTGTAGTATGCGCATGCGCAATACAAATTTTTTTTTTTTAAATTGCAACACCTATTTTTCTCACCGGATATGGATAGATTATTTTATTCTAAGTAATTTTGATCCATTGACCATAGTTCTAAACCTAAAATTGAATGTGTTACAGCTTTTTGAAATTTTAAAATAATTAAATTTTTTCGATTTTACCAAAAACATTACACGCTTGAATTTGATACAAAAGTAAATCATTTTTGAACTAAAATGAAATGCATTTAAATAATTGAATACAAAATCACCTAAAACAAAATTCCTAGCTAATTTAAATTTAATTAATTTAAAAATAAATGTACCAATTAAATTGACACTGACGTTGTAATTTGCGTTATTATTGTGCGATAAAAGTTATTGAATTATTTCCAGTTTTATTATTAGTACTTCGATAATATTATTGTAGATATTGTTTGATTATCAAAAATGAACTAATGCACGTTCCCTCAGTATTGTACGTTCATCGATGACACTTATAACTTTTAACATAATACTTTGAAAGATTTTTCTTTTTTTCTTCTTTAAAATGTTAAACAATAGTGAAAAAGTTGATATGATTTTAATTTATGGTGAGTGTAATAAACATTGTCGGGAGGCTGCAAGGGTTTATGCAAATCGATATCCCGAAAGATATCATCCACCGCATAATTTTTTTTTAAGATTAGTTAATAATTTACGAACTTACGGGACTTTTTCGATAAGAGATTCACAGAGACAACCACTACGCAATATGGAACCAAATGATGATCAGGAAAATGAAGTAATTGCGTACATTCAATTAAATCCTCACTCATCTTTAAGACATGTTGCTAGAGAATTTGGCTTTTCAAAAATAAAGGTACACAAAATATTCAAAAAATACAAGTTACATCCTTATAGGGCTGATCTAGTTCAGCATTTACGCCAAGGTGATGACGAACGTAGATTAACATTTATTGCATGGATAACAACATGTATAAATAACGACCCATTATTTTTAAATTACATTTTGTGGACCGACGAATCAAAGTTTACCAATAATGGTGTTTTAAATAAGCAGAATAACCGTTATTGGTCAAACGGAAATCCACATTGGGCAGTTGATACAAATTATCAAACAGTATGGGGCACAAATGTGTGGTGCGGATTATTAGGAGGACATTTAATAGGTCCACATTTTTATGACGGTACTCTTAATGGAAGACGTTATTCAGATTTCTTAACTTTGCTACCGATCATGTTGGAAGATGTCCCTTTATTACTTCGTCAAAACTTATTTTTTCAACAGGATGGAGCACCCGCTCATAATGCCATTATTGTAAGACAACAATTAAATGAAATGTTTGGAAATCGATGGATGGGAACTCACGGGCCAGTGGAATGGCCCCCACGGTCACCTGATCTAACACCATTAGACTTTTTTTTATGGGGCCATTTAAAGACTGTTGTTTATGCAGATCCACCAGCAAACTTACAGGTTTTAAAAAATAAAATAACGGTAGCGTGCAGACAATTAACAAAAGAACAAATTTTGGCAGCACCCTATAGAGAAGTGAGTCGTCGACTGGAATTGTGTTTAGAAAAAAATGGAGGAAATTTTGAACATTTTATTAGATAAAAAAAATAAACATAAGTCAAATCAATGTAACGGAGTAATTTTAATTTAATTCCTACTTCACATTCTTAATTAAAATCTATGAAAAAATCACTCAATTCAAGCGTGTAATGTTTTTGGTAAAATCGAAAAAATTTAATTATTTTAAAATTTCAAAAAGCTGTAACACATTCAATTTTAGGTTTAGAACTATGGTCAATGGATCAAAATTACTTAGAATAAAATAATCTATCCATATCCGGTGAGAAAAATAGGTGTTGCAATTTAAAAAAAAAAAATTTGTATTGCGCATGCGCATACTACAAGAGTTAAAAATTTGAAATTTGTCCTTAAATGTGTACTTCAGTACCCCTTAGCTATTGCAGTAAACCGTATTTCAATCTAAGATTATCGGGCTGAGATATTTAGTGGTACATTTAAAACGGGACACACTGTATATATGTAAAATATACATTTTTTGTTTCAAATAATTTTAAAATGTTGAAAATATTTAGTAATAAAAAACCTTAAAAGAATGTTGTGTTCATCATAAACATTTACCATAGTAAAATTATCAATAGAAATTAGACATTGAAAATAGATAAAAACCAGTAAACACAAGCCACATTGCTTATTGTTCAGCACTAAATGGATTATAAATAATAATATAGCAAAGGGAGCCATAGTTACCCTTCTGAAGGCGAACAAGTCTTTTTGGATCTTTTGCCGCTCAACTGAGGGCTGTTGGCCTTTGCCACGGATGAACTTGAGCATGTTGGCAACAGACAGTCGTACTTCCCTGTTCCTAAGCAAAAGACGAGGCAATATGTCAAAAACACTGTTGTCCGAACACAACTGACGGCGACATCGTCCGACAGGTACATGGATAAATATCAGGGGTTTGGTGTACTTACCCTGTATTCCGTCGTCGGGGTCCGCGGGTCTGCTGTCGATGAGTTCAAAACATATACACCGGCATCATCGGAAAGCTAATAATTTAAGGACGGTGTACCGAAACAGTGACCACGACAGTCCGACAAATCGCACCGCTATAACAGTGAAACGACTTCTGCCACTATGACTACTGCTGTCGGTACTCGGTAGGCCTGTTCAAACACGATTACAAGATTACGGCTAGAACGATAACAGGATATCGTGCGGCGCGCGCCACTTACACGTCGACCGTTCAGCGTCGAATACCAGGTAACCTGGTATCGATGTACGCGCGCCGGTCTGCTGTTGGTTTTACCTGAGATTGGTCCTCCGTTGTCGTTGGCCGTCCGGACATAATATCAAAAGTCACAAGTCACAACACAACTTACTATCGACGGCGACAACTACTACTGCAAGCGGGGCGCGGCGGGTACATGCGAATCCGGTAACCGTTTGGTTCTTTCTGACGAGTGACGACCAGAACCGGGACTCGGGAGCCAACGAAACGAAAACAGAATATCGGCCGCTATCAGCTCCCCACCGTCGTAGCACACGGGGGCACGGGGCGTACGCGCAATAATTATTATTGTGTATATTTTGTGACTTGTGTGTCGTTTTTTTTTCCACCTCTCACTCACTCTGTCACTCTCTCTCCCTCTCTCTCTCTCCGTTTTCTTTCTAGTTCAACAACCTCCCCACCGCGAGTTTCAAGGAGGTTGAAGACCCCTGGGCCTGTGCGAGGTGCGACGTTGATTTCTCGACGACGGCCGCCTCCGCCTATATGACGTGCGGTCAAAATAGCACTGTGCTTATAGGTATACCGTAGTGTACGCTAATATTATAGACAATTGTACACACGCACACGCCCGCGTATAATACCTATAATAAATACAATAATATTATTATATTATTTAGGTTCATCGCATTACTGCAGCCGCTGTATACAAGGCGATTCCTCGTACAGTCTGGTGACCAAACTTTTTCCTGGTAAATTATTGTGTTTTTAAATTTTTTATCTTACAAAATTTGAAGTCTTTATACAATTTAGTAGGTACTCTATAGTCTGTCGTTTTTGAAAAAAAAACCGATTTTCTTACAATGCATCGTTTTTATCGTTTTACTATTGCTTTTTAAAACGACGAGTATATAATATTTTTACATTATAATATTTTGTCGTTGTGTATTTAATATTCTGAAGCATACCTGATATCAAACCAGCTACACTGCTGAGGATTTCGACCGAGGCGCACAAATATTATTTGTTTGATCCTATTTCTCAGTACCTACGACACACGTTCACCGAGAAAATCGCTGTATCGCAAAAGAATCGCTCTGTATATACCTACACGTACCTACCATATTATGTATATTGTCCCGTGTCCGTTCCGCTATATAGTTACTTATAGTAATATAACTACCCGTACCTCAGCCGCCGAACAGGCAACAGCCCGGGTCTTGACAAAGCTATTATATATATATATATGTATACAATTTAGCCGGCTTATGTATTTGTGCATACACCTATATAGAGGCGTTATATATAAATTATAAATATAATATATATATATATATATGTGTATAATAATAACATGTGTAACTGTGTGAGTGTATACCTACGTGGCTATCTATACTTGTAGGTATATAATATTATGTGGTGTATGTGTGTGTGTTGTATAAAATATATAATAACGTGACGAGTACACGCATATTGTGTTTATAGGACCTCGGACGGGCTCTGCGTGTAGAAGTGTTGTCATTGTGTATAGGCACGATTTTACTTTACTTAATACTATTATATATATATATATATATACCTATATGCCCTATATGGCTATATAGTATCTTATAGATATATATATATTTTTTTAACGAATTAGACGAGATCCACGATCACTGGTAAAATATAATAATATCTACAAATATGTAACAGTAACATTGAGTGTATACACCTGTCTACATATATAATATATATACCGCCTATATGATCTATATAGTACCCCCCCCCCCACAACAGTCGTTTTATTATTATTGTTATTTTTATTTTCAGTATTACTATTATGCACTCTTCTTGTATATAATAATATATCTAGGTAATATATTATACAGATCGACGGATGATAGGTACAACTGTACAAAATAATAGTACATCGGTGAAGTTCGAACAAAATTGAAAACATGATACTCATAAGCAACCTACCTACTATTTTTGTAATGATCTCCATTATTATAACTCTATTATAATAATCCATTTTCTGAAGTACGCTATCGTAAATGATAAAAATGATCTAAGAGTTATATCTAAGATTCTATGATGAATATATCTGGATGAAATTATGAAAATATGTACCGTGACTATAGTTTTATTATTTTAATATGAATAACAGAATAATGCGCTAGCATGACTACATTGTGTAGCGAATATCCTACATTATAATATAGGCGTTGGTATTTTCAATCTATTTTACCTATTTGACGCCTTATGATTGATTCTATATTTCAAAATATAAGTATTATAACATATTTATATTGTATTCATTTATAGTTTTGAATACTCATTAAATTAGTTGGAGTAGATTTATAATTATTTTTTTGCGAGTATAATATTATACACTTTTTTAAATAAAATGTTATAGCAGGTACTCGCGTTCCAATTATTGCCATATTGAATATGGTATTAAATCACTATAATAGCCTATAATTGATAATATTTAAGCGAAATATTTAACGTATTCAGCATAGGTACCTAGTTTTGAGTTTAAAGTTATATAATAGGAATAACTTTAAACTCAAATCTGTATAGTCATTGCCCATTAAATCATTCGGAATTTAATCAAAAACATTAATTTGCTGCTGTATTTACTCAAATTATTATTCGGTATAACGTATAAATAAAAGAAGAAAGTCGTGTTACCGACCCCAGGCGTAGACCCTACCAAAGTCTATACGACGCTACGGATACCTCTTGGAATTTAATACACTTATAGGTACAATAATAAGCTAAATACTAAAATATACTGAAAGAAGCCCGAGGGTTCCATATGTTGATATGTACATGACATAATATTATAGAACAGTTTAACTTGCTTATACGTTTACGGTACCTATACAATAGTATACATCCATACCTCGTCTCAAGCACCACCTTAAAATAGAGAAGCCCTAATCGACTGCCTACATGTCTAAGTAGACAATAGACATTATATTGGCACATTGCAATACATTATATTATACTCCTGATACCTATACTGGCTATAGATCTATAGTGTTTGTACTATACATCTATATACTACAATATGAATATATATATACTATATAACATATTAGTTATTATATACATATTACATATTACATATATCTTAGTCAATACGTCATGCATATTGCATATATAATATATAAATATATTGTATCATGTATAAAGTACCTATTCTAACTGTCAAATATAACTAATTAAATATAGTAAAAATGTAATATACATTTTGCAAATTTATACACAATAATATAATTATATAATAGGTAGCTATTACATAGGTATGTAGGTATCGTAAATTTGTATAACTCCTGTAATTACTATAATGCGTTTAAATTATAAGGGTTATCAAAGACCATAAATCGAATGAATGTAGTAGGTATTGAAATATATCCTAGAGTTTAATACATATTAATTTGTTATCCTTTTTATAAAATACTTCAAGACTAATACAGTTCTACTACAAGATAAACAATACAATAGAATATAATACAGTGAGAGTGAGATTATTTTAACAGTTAATACATATTATCTCTACAAGTGTGGATTCTTTTAGAAATATTTTTTAGTTGTGATAATTTTTTACTTTTTTGAATGTCTGCAAATGTTTAATATCATTTTCTGCAGGAGAACGTTTTTCTAAAATTCAATGCATAATAAATGAATTTTAGGCTTGTCAATAAGTTGAGGATTATTATATATTACAACTTATAAGTATTTAAAGTGTTGTTATTCGTATATCATATTATTATGGAATGGTGTGGTGTTCCACATATATAGTACAACCTACAAGCAAAGGCATAGCTAAAAATTTCAGTAGGTTAGGCAACCAAGTGCATTTTTAAATTTTACCAAATTTTGTTAAAAATTAATTTATTTGAATATTTGTTAGATAAACACCGGAGGGATTGCTGCCCACGGTCCCTCTTGGCTACGCTCTTGCCCACAAGGCCACAAAATGTTGGTTACATTATTTATTACTCCATTTATCAAAACTTTAAATACAGTAGAAGCCGCTTATACGACTCACGGATTTAAGCTTCAGTCGCTTATTATAGTTTAGTTATTAGTTAGGTATTAGACTAAAAAGCGCCTGGAACGGTCCGACAATGCATTATACATTGCGTACCTATACAGTATACATGTACGTATGTATGTTCGTATGTATTGTATATTTATATTTAGAACATAATGTAAAAGTTGCAAAATTAAGCTACCTAATAGATAATTAATTAAAATTTTCGTTTTTTTTCCACTTCGCCAATATAAGATTCAATCGGTTATCAACTGACTTTGTGCTAGTCCCAGTGTCCGTCTATTATAAGTGGCATCTACTGTACTTATGGCTTATAAAAATTCTCAGAAAATATTATGTTTTAGAACATGAAATTAAAAACGTATGTCAATAATTAAAATAAAAACTGAAAAAAATATAATTTTTAGATTTTTATAGTGGAGCAATGAAATATGAATGTATTAGTTTTACATTAGAGTGTTTTTTGTGATGTTTATCAATTATCATCAACTTTTTCGATTGAAGCATTAAAAATTCCAGTACTTTTCTTTATAATTAGAACAATTTATGCAATACCATTTCTGACATGATATAATTTTAAAAATATTTTGGCTCTTTTTAACCTCATTATGTTTTATATACAGTAGGCTATTGGAAATAGGAATGGCAGTAGGAAATTTGAAATTTGATACTTTTTTTAGTTTTTTTCCATACATGTTAATAAAAATATGTTTATGCTCAGTCAAAATCAAAAAGCTTGAAAATTAAATACAAGTTTCTTCATGAGTTGTTTTTATATTGGAATTTAAAAAAATAGTTGATCATAAAGCCACATTATTTTTTTGTAATCATTTGAAGATAACATTTAAACGAACTGTACATAACTCAATACTTATGGCCTATGTATGCTGGATTGAATCAAAGAATAAATAATTTGAGGGTCTTATATATAATGTTGGGAAACCTATATTAGTATATTACAGTCATAATTTAGAAGCATTTTGAGAGTTCTTTATAATAACAATATATATGGTATTTGAAAAACGTGTGTATCAAAGATTCAAAGCCTATAAAGTAGGTATACATTTAATAATATTATCTATAGTTATATATTATTTTTCGCAAAGTTTAAGGGCGAGCGAACGATTTATTTAGTTGTAGTACCTTTACTTAGAACTTATAAGGTATATTATGTATAATATAAGTATAGTATATTGGACATTGGTTTAGTAATAAGGTTTCATTTAGTAATAAAATATTATGCAGATAAGTATTAAGTAGACAACCGTGTAGACGTGTAGTTTGTAGATAAAA